GTGTTCTTATTAAAGTATGGGAATTCAGTTGTTGTTGTAGCCATTTAGTTATACAAGTAGATTGTTTGAGGCATTAGGCCGCAGAACTCACTTGGAAAAGGCTCTAGTTTTGGACATTTTTTATGTTTTCACACATAAGCTGCTTAGTTGACCTTCAGCTTACATTTCCCACCCACATGGTCATTGGTTGATGGATTATTTTAGTATGCTATTTTTGTGGCACTCCCAAGGACGTTTCTATCATGTATAAATAAACTTGATTTGTGTGCTTGTCGACTTCGTATTCCTAAGTGCTTGTAGAATGCACTTTCTACGCCTTATCAAGACTTCTTGATATAGTTAGCCGGGCCGGGGAAAAACAGATTAGAATAGCCTATCGTGTCACTGCATCATTTGTCTTCGCTCTCGTTTACCGAGTAAGGTGAACTCGTAATAGTATTCAAACATATCAGTTAACGAGCATATCATAGATATACTCAAAATCGTTTACAATGGAGCAGGTGCATCCATTCTTTGCGTTCTATAAAAAATTCTGATCTAAACTCATGACTGTCACTCTTTCTCATCTCAAATCTACTTCACTGAATTATACCTGTTGAACAATATCTTTGGACTATGATCTTTCCGACTGTTACTCATACTTCTAAAACCTCTACCACTATGGGGTTTGAGTAGACTATTGCATCTCGATGATGCCGTGGTATGGCAACTTGGACTGATGTACGCATGTACGTAGTTCTACGTTTTAGCTGACTGACTGAACGTGAACTGGGAAGAAGAGAATAGTAACAAACAGTGAAACGCGTGCCTTCAATACGGTCATAGAGGGCGCCATGTTCCTCCACAAATACGTACACAAGTCTGTATAGGCTTACCAGACAATAATACTACATAGAACCAGATCGATTACGTCTGCATCAACAAAATATTCGGAAGGTCAATTGAAGACATAAAAACAAAGAGATGAGATGATATCAATTTGAATTACTACCTGGTAGTGGCCTATCTAGAACTGATGTCGATGAAATATTGGATAGTTGGGCAAGCAGGACAAGAATAGTTTAATGTAGCCTTCCTTTGGGATTTCAGCAAGCTCAGCGAATACAAGATAGATTTCAGTAACAAAGTTTAAGCTATACAAGACCAACTTAAGAAGAGGGAACCATTGTAGAGTGTGACTGAAAAGGGGTTACATAAAAGCAACAGCTTCAACATTGCATGAGGTACTGGGTATCATGAGGCATCAGAATAAAGGATGGATCTATCTAGATAACTTGAGTGAGATTTACATTCTAATCGTTTTCATAATAAAACATTGGGTTTTTTTTCACCTACCTTCTTGATTAGCTAGAAAGTATGTAGATATTCCTTCAAGATCAGTTTATCTGACGTTATAATTTTTTTTCTACTAGTCCCCTTTTTTTATGGCTTTTCATGGGTGATAGTTAATTACAATGAATCGATCATCCAACTTTTCATCATAAAAAATGTTTTCTCCGTATTGACAATTATTCATATAATTGGTAGATGTACTCATGTACGAATTTCTACGTTGTAACTAACTGACTTGTATGGCGTCATTCATGTATTCTTAGTCATTAATTCATTTGCATGAATGAGTTGTGGAGATTGTTGAGTTACCTTTTGTAATCATAAATCGATGATTGTTGGATCAGCACTAGAAACCTGGACGCACTGAACGGCCGCTTCGTCCTGGTTCGGGACTCATCACCCAGTGTGCATCCATGACTACTACTAATTGCAGGATTCGAGACTACGAACTTCGGTCCTGTGCACTGAGGATGAGTCTCATACCAGGACGAAACGGCCGTTCAGTGCGTCCAGGTTTCTAGTGCTGATCCAACAATCATCGATTAATGATTTCAAAAGGTAACTCAACAATCTCCACAACTCATTCATGCAAATGAATTAATGACTAAGAATACATGAATGACGCCATACAAGTCAGTTAGTTACAACGTAGAAATTCGTACATGAGTACATCTACCAACATGAATAAGTCCACTTGTCAGTGACTTCATGGATTTCTGGCGTTTTAGTTTGGCCGCCCATAGATTTCTTCCAACCTACTCCTACACCACTAAATATCGAACATTGAGGCAGTCAGTGGTTAGCCATGCGTAACACATGTCCCAACCACCTCAACTGATGAAGTTTCACCACTTCATCTATTGATCTGCCATCCTTACCTAGTACTCGTTTCCTAATGGCAGCATTGCTTACTCGGCTGTCCCAAGATATACGAGCAGTGCTTCGAAGACATATATAATCGGATACTAATAACCGACGAATATCTTCTACTCTCACTGGCCATGTTTCACAGCCAGGACGGAGCGAACTGCTGCACGGTAGACTCGTCTTTTGGTTGGTAGACGGATATCTTGTAGCACCTCACATATATCTTGTACTTTTATCATTGTTGAGCTAGTGTGCGCATGTACGCTTGGGCATTACTTGCCACCTACACATATATAGTTATTTGACTAACTGTATCGATTAACAGTTTGAATAATTCGATGTCAATATCGACTATACATATTTGAATTAAAACCGATATTTGTATCGATCATTAAAATAATTTGAATAATAAAGAAATTGTGGCAACGACTTGTGTTCTCTCGTAGCGATCATCAAGACGGAGATCTACGGGAAGTCAAAGATAACGAAAGTCTAACGCCACAACCTCGCCTACGCCATAAATGACGCCACTTGGCAAACGCCAGTCAAGCCTTCTGTATCCGTGCTGCGATTTCCTCAGTTACTAGGCCATCACCACCGATAAAACTCCCCAGATAAATAAAGTGGTCAACACGCTCAATCGCTTTACTCCTTATCACTAGTTCAAGTGCCGATTCAAGCCAATCTTGAAGCTACCTTTTGCATTTCGACGGGAAGAATCACATCCCGAACATGCTTGCAATGTTGCTTACGGTAGTCAGAAGACTTTGCATTTTGACAGTGTCTTCAACGAATAGGATTATATCAACAGCATACTCTAAGTCAGTAAGCATGTATCCTGGTAGAAATTCAACTCCTGAAAAGTCAGACGATGATAATGTTAACTCAAAAAGCACGTCTACAACAAAGTTAAATAGGAATGGAGGGAGTGGACAGCCCTGTCGCACACCACTTGAAGTAATCAATTCCGATGACAGTTTGCCATAAGCTCTCACTCGACCAATGGTGTTCGAGTAGAGAGCTTACATAAAGTTAGTGTAATTCTTTGGTACAACACCTTTCAGTGACAGACACTGCCAAAGAATCTCACGATCAACAGAGTCGAATGCCACTTTAAGGTCGAGAAATATTACTATTGTGGGGCGTCTGAACATATGTCTTTGTTCTAGGACCTGACGTTGTATGAATATCTGGTCTATACATCCGCGTCCATGTCTGAAACCAACCTGGTTTTCTCTAGTCTGCGCTTCACGAGCTATAGTTAGGCGTTTAAGGATAATTGAGGCTAGCAATTTAGAAACTACTGTAACGGAGTCAAAATCACTATGTATGATGTTGCTAACTCGTTCTGTTTTCTTTCTGTTTCAGGGCGATCAAACACAAACGCTTTGGAAGCTGAAGAACAAGCCCTGAGTGCTCTAAACTTACAGGATGACTCATAAGACATTGGTACACTACCCACCCTATTCCTGTAAAAACCCCGCGTATTTGATTTTCAAATAAAAGAGTGTCGTGACAACAACTTCGTGTTCTCTCTTGGCGTGAGGTGTTGAACTAACCTTGTGTGTTGTGGTTTTAGATCCTCTCTGCCCTTTAGTGACTGCTGATTACGCGTGTTACACTATATTAGTCAAACTGATTCTTCTGTAATTGTCACAAGAAGACTTTTGTCCTTTCTTATAAAATGGAACAATCTGTGATTGAGACCAGTCAGATTGGATTACAACGTCATATTAGAGAATAAACATTACGACCTACATATAACCAGTACGCATTTATTAATTAAACTAGGCAGAGCTACCTCCTCCAAAACATAAGCAACGATGCAGATGTCAATCGGTCAGCTCAACGCAAGTTATTTGAATGATATCGGAATAGATTAGTAATTCCCTTGTATAGATAAGTCATAGTTTCGTCAAAAAGTAACAAAATGTGTAGAACATCTTTTCAATTGAATAAAATTTGAAAAAATACATCTATTTTTGCTTTTAAATATATATATGCTTAGTTCGACAAAACAAAATCAAAAAACAAGATGGAATGACGCGACAGACAATAAATGAAGCAAATAGAATAAAACAATAAGAAAAGTAGTGAAATTACACTGGTTGGTGTATTTTTTTAATTGATTAGGCAGATTGAGAAAACAAACAGAACCCCCCCCCCACACACACACACAAAGAGTGTAGGTCAGGTCAGTAGGATTGCAAAAAAATATAAATAAATGTAAAACATTGATTCATTCAGTACAGTGATAAAAGTAAATGCACAATACACTTACATGTTCTAACACACACACACAAACACATACATACACATGATGGAAGGAGTGTTACACAGATAGATACACAAATACACACAAATACATATAACCACCAGACTCACATAAAATTTAAGAAAATAACCAAATAGCAATTAAGAGGTACTTCAAGAATTGCTCTGCACAGTAAACATAATTCAATAAAAAAAGTAAAGAGAGAGTGTGTATGTGTGTCTGAGTGAGTGATATAAGGTTTTTCTTTTGTACAATGAGTAGTTAAGTGTGTTTTGTGAATGTTTATTGATAGTTTATTGATAGATACTACTACTACTATTACTATTACTACTTATATTACCATTACTACTATGAACTGCTGCTGCTTTAAAGAGAGAGATAGAGAGAGGAAAACACAACACAAGAAGAATTACAGTATTTGTCAAACATTAATTAAAACTATTTAGTTACGTGTAGACAACCGTTGTATTATTTATTAGAGAATAAAATGCAAACTCTAATAAATGACAAGAATAACACAATTACAACATATCTATCTGAAAATGAGAATGAAGTTGTTTATAGTGCAGAGAGAGACGGAGAGTCAAGGAGCAGGACACCAGGAATCTTATTTTTATTTTCATGCATTGGCAATAATGATCTTCGCCAGATTAGGAGGCAAAAGGCGAGAAGACGAAAAAAATTTCTAGTCACAACAATTCAACAGATATCCAATGAAGAGAAAAAAAATCAATTGAATTCAGGAATTTTTTTTTAGAAAAAAAAAGAAAAGCGGGCGATTTTTTAATCTTAGTTTCACATTTGAATGAGACAAGATTTAAATTAATGTAAGATTATGAAGAGAGAAAAATACTAGATATATATATGTATATATATAAATGCACAATGCAAAAAAAAACAAGTATGAATATGGATCACTTATCCTCTGATAAGAGAATTTATTTTGCATATATTTTTGTGTGTCTGAAATTTGATTGTTTGTTCTTGTTGAGTGAGCGCCAATGTTTGGCGCAATGTTTTGCATGGAAAAATTACTCACACACATACGCACGCAAGCACGTGCGTGCTAGATGATGTGTGGCGCAGATTATAACGGTGGATAACATCGTTGTTCATCTAAACGTGTCGATTGAACACGTTGAATTAATGCAAACAAATCGTTGGCATCATCACCGTCATCACCACCACCATCACCATCATCATTTTGTTGGTGTTGTTGTTCGATAGGTGGAGCTGAATATCGATTTGATAAATTATTATTATTATTATTCAATGCACCGGTTGAAGTGTATAAAGTTAATTCTCTGTGTGGATTAGATGCTGTGGTTGTGGTTGTTGTTGGCGGCGGTGTATTGATTGGTTGATGATGAGTTTCTCTCAAACCATTATCATCATCGTTATTGCAGCGAGTTGGATTATTACTATTATTATTATGTGATTGAATTTGATTAAGAGGATCAGGTAGATTGGTTCGTTGATCATTGATTCGTGTACATGTCTGTTAGAGAATACAATTATACAATTATATAATATAACGATAATAAATGATAATCATAACTAACCTCTAGTATCTTAGAATATAAAGATTTGCAAGATGACATAGTGACTTGGCTCGTTAATAATGTGTGAAACTACCGTTGGCTTTCTATAAGCAACAACATTCCCGACCGTAGCTGCTACCTTGACGTGGTGGTCGGGCTTGACTATCGTCATGACCCAACCGAGCTATACTGGCTGAAACATATGTTCTTGAATGTTCTACCATGCCAGGCAAGTCGATTGGAGAGCGATGAGACTAAAAGCAGCTACCCAAGGTTTCAGGGCGAAGTCGTACTGCTGACTGCGATGGATGGGTGTGACAGCAGTAAGGTGTTTCCCTCGGACAACCAGCATCTGCAGCAGTGCTGCCTTCTCACAAGAAGGAACCGTTAGAAAAGGTCGACTCTAAAAATGTCACACCTTACCCTACCTCACGGATTTCCGTCTCCCGCGGTGAGGGTGCCCACTAAGGGCCGTTAAGAGCGGCGCTAATCCTCAAAAAACCTTTCGAAAAAGGCCGTGCGTGACCGGCCTCAAGAAGTCATCCCCTGTGCCCTGCGGTCACGCTCCCAGGTCTCCAAGACCAACACTAATCTATCTTCCTTTTCAGGTCCCTCAAGAAACAACCTTCCACGGTGTGGGCAGCCGGGAAGTAATAACCGCCCTCATACCCGTAACAGCACGCGAGACCGAATCGGTCAAAATCAAATCCTTCCTACACCCACACATACTTCTCTTCTCTCCACAACTAACTCTACTCACATTCCCTTATCTGACTGCACTACCGTTGGCTTTCTATAAGCAACAACATCATTAGTACTCTTCGATTACTTCTAATACCTTTACTACCTCTTCTACTATTATTGGATTTGAATTGACAATTACATCTCTGTTCTGATGTGGTATGGCAACATGAACTGATATACTTACGTACGAAGTTCTACGTTGCATCTGACTGACTGACTGACTGACTGACAGTAAGCTGTTCATCAAATGTGGAAAACTTCAAATGGCCCACTGTACTTTGAACTATTTACTAATGATGTTTTCTAGGAAAGACAATGACAGTTTCAAAACTAGACTATTCAACTCAAAACATCTTCAAAATACGATAAAAAGTTGGTACTCATTGAAATCATGAATCGATCAGTGTTAGATCACTTATAAGAAACCACGACTAATGTACCTCGCAGGATTCTAACCTAACCTCTGGACCACTGAACCGGTATATCTAACGGTGTTAATGTGTCTAACTTCGATCAATTCACAAACTTGCGCAACCTTATACACTGGTCTTCCGTAGTTACTACTGTTTACACCCGAACAGGGCTGAACTCCACTGGTCACGTCTTCTCACTAGAACTCGGAGAAAAGTCTTCACCGAGCTAATCACTAGTGAGTTGCGGAGATTGTTGAGTTACATTCTGAAATCATGAATCGATCAACGTTAGACCATCATTAAAAACCTAATTGAATCCGATAGAATTCATCATCATTGTTGTTGTTGTGTAAGAATCAAGTCTAACGATTGAAGTCTTAATTCTTATTGGTATTTGAGCGATCTGTATCGTTTGGTTGCTTGTCTGTCATTTTACCAAAAAAAAAAAGAAACTTTTTTATTCAACCAACGGGTATTCCGCATTTTGATATCCATTTTATTATACTAAAGGCTTCTTGTTTGTTTCATGCTAGAATGAAATAGCTATTGATTGAATGATGGATGGTCAGGCTATGTATGATCGATCACTTTGTCATTTAAACTTCGAAAGTACTAAGTTATGATGATTGTGATTTGGAAATCTAACGTTTTTTTAACGTTTTTTTCACATGACTTTCCCTAAAATCGTCATTTTACGACTTTTAAACCATGAGTAGTAGTGGTGAGTGCTCTGAAAATCGTATTCTTCTCTTAATGACTGATTCATTCCTACGGACAGACTTTCCATTATTTCATTATCGGTCAAAACTGTAAAAAGAAAATCCTCAGATTGTATTTTAACAATTTATTCGCATAGTTATCATCATGAACTGGTTTAAATTAGGCAACCAATGATAAACAAAATACACTAGAAATCTGCTTAGTCTTGGATATGGAACAATGTCACCTGCTTCCTGATTTCCAATGCTATTTTTATGATCGTTTCGTGACTTAAACAATGAAATTTGTAGTGTTTGTGAAACTAATACGTTGGGTACACACGACTTGCCCTAGCTTTCGGATAAACTAATTAACCCTTTTCTAGCCGAGTTACTCACTATTCCCATGTCTTTTAACTTGTTTTTGTTTTAAAATGATTGCGTAAGCACATTGCTTGCTTGCTTCGCTTGCCACATGTCTAACTTATTTCAGTCAACTATAAATACTTATTTTTGAAACCATGAATCGATCAATGTTAGACCATCATCAGCAACCTCGAAGAAGCACTGAATGGCCGTTTCGTCCTGGTATGGGACTCCTCAGCAGTGCGCATCCACGACTCCTGCACCCCGCAGGATTCCAACCCAGGACCTTCGGTATTGTAGGCAAACGCCTAACCATCGGACCACTGAGCTGGTATCTGACGGTGTTAATGTCTAACTTGATCAATTCACGGAGTTGCGCAAGCTCATACACAGTCTTCGGTAGTTATTGTCTACACCCGAACAAGTTGAACTCCACTGGTCCTGGGTTCGAATCCTGCGGGGTGCAGGAGTTGTGGATGCGCACTGCCACTGATGAGTCCCATACCAGGACGAAACGGCCGTCTTTCAGTGCTTCCAGGTTTCTAATGGTGGTCTAACATAGATCGATTCATGGTTTCAAAAATGTGTAACATTAAAATGTACCAACACGAAATAATAATAATAATAATAATAATAATAATAATAATAATAGATTTAAAGTGAGTAAAACACATCAAAAACAACTTGCCTACCTGAATACGAAATATCATTTCTAAAAATTCATCATCTAAATCACCAGTAGACGATACAATATGATGACCACGACGTCCACGTGTTCTACCGACAATAGCACTGTTACTATTAGCACCACTACTTTGTCCTCTTCCTCTGTCTCCTCCGCCTCCCCTTTCTTCAGCACTTTCTGTTCCACTGCTATAACAACTAGCCGGTGTAGCAGTAATAACTTCATTAGTTGAATGATTACCAAATAATCCTATGGTGCCATCATGATTACTATTATTACGATGTAGTTTCGGTTCTGGAAGACCATCACTTGCACAACTATTAGTTGATTTGAATACTGAATTAGTTGAACCAAAATAACAACTATTATTATTATTAATATTATTATTATTAGCAGAAGTACTAGTAGTATTACTGCTATCCAATACATGAAGACCTGGTCCAGAACGAAGACCAGGAAACACTGATAGATTGGCTCGTTGATCATTCATTCTATCACCCTAAATATATAGACAGACACACAGACATACATAAAGTAATGAAAATGTGTACAAGAAAACATAATTATTATTGGGTGATAATTAATGTAAATGTACAACATAAACAATCATGTTAATATACATAAATACACTTTTAGAATTGGGGTCCATAGATATTAGTTCAATCTGAAGAAAAAACTTTCATCACACAATATATATACATATATGCAGTGAGTCAGTCAGTCAGTCATCCAATAGTAGAAGAGGTAGTAAAGGTATTAGAAGTAATCGAAGAGGTAAGGATTAGAAGATATTATTCAAGAAGTATGGTTCAATGAGAAAAGTTTAGAAAGTCAAAACTAGAGGTGTTGAAGAATCCAGAAGATTAGGATTTGAGAGAACATAAAGAATAAATGCACCGGCGCCGATGCAAACGCCTTTGAGCCATGTCACCCAGGGTCTCTAACCATCGATTATTATCATCTCGCGGATCCCAACCAGGTAATCGACAATTACCGACATGGCTAAGTCCACTTGTCAGTGACTTCATGGATTTCTGCCATGTTTTGGTTTGGCCGTCCCTAGCTTTCTTCCAACCTACTCTTACATCACTAAACATCGCTTGTCGAGGTCAGCGTTTGGGCGCATACGCAACACATATCCCAACCACCTCAACTGATAAGTTTCAATAATCCATCTTTTTATCTACCTGTTTCCTAACAACAGCATTGTTTACCCGATAGTCTCAAGATAAACGAGCAATGCTTAAGTAGATAAGTGGAAACGAAATAATGTAGGTGAATGTAATCGAGATGTAGGCTTAAACAAAGGTCTCACACAATAAATTGTATTTGTAATCTGCAGATGATTAATGATCCCTCTTCTTGAATCCGTACCATCTAGTATGGTTACAATGAATAAAGATTTACTTTAAAACTGGACTATTTGAGCTGCAACTGACCTGTTGTAGGACTGAGACTTTTAAACTCACTAACTACTACTGTGGTGTACGCTACTTATGTTCACATAAGTAGTATAACGATATCAAACGGAAATCAAACGTCTGATAGCAAAATATCGAGAAGGAAACAATGAGAACAGAAAGCGATTTGTAGGGGTAACGTAAACTGAACTGAAGTCTGAACAGTTTAAATGAAAGAACACTGAAAACTGAAACAAATAATGATTCGTTTGTAAATGATGATTTCACGGGAAGGTTTTGTACATATGATTAACAACTCTGTAATATTCGCTTAAATATAAATGTTGATGTCCTCACCTGGGTTCCCGAGCACAACACTACTTACTACTTAGTGATCAAACAATTGTAAATGACAAGTTGGATGAGTATATAGGACATAACATATGCTTATAATACTTACAGACTAGCTCAAAAGATCAAATGGTATATGTTAAAAGAATTATAAATAACGAGTAGTAGTGGTGTCAATGGAGGAAATCGATTAACAGAACTAGTATAACTCAATGCCTTAAGCTTACATATCCTAACAGATACCTATGATTCCTGCTTCAATCTTCTCTCATATTTGTATAGTGTATTTATTCAATAATACCTTGTAATTGTATCGAGTCACATAAAAAAAATGCATTATTTACTTGAACTCCTTCAATTAAATCAAAGAAAGCTTCTTCATTTGTGCTCATTTGATTACGTAATGTAGAATTATCGCTAGCCGATAATGATGATATTAAATGAGCATTGCCAGATGATTCACGTGTTGCATTCGATTGAATAGGAGGAGGTGGTGTATTATGACCAGTAGTACTAGTAGCAGTTGTAGTAGTAGTAGTAGTAGTACGTAAATAACAACGTTGTTCATCCATACGACGTGATTGGGATTCAAGTAGAAGTGAGAAAAATATCTCTTGTTGATCTGTGGTACGTTCTTCTTCAACTACAGAAGTAGCAGCAATAGCAACAGTTGATGTGGAATTAGTAGTACCGACAGTATTGTGATTATTACTACTACTACTACTAGAATCTAAATGTTCATTAGATAAATTTGAATTTCTATTCATTTGAGACATTGATTCAATGGATTCTAGATTATCTTCAATATCTTGAAGATTTGGTATATCAATTTGTTGTGATAAACTACTAGGACGAAATACTGGTGCACTTAAATAAAATTCAACCTGAAAAAAAAAAAAGAATTGTAGTGAAGGAGAACATAGGTGAGGGCAAGCGAATTGTATTTAGTCGCAAATTACAGAGTTACTCAGTAAAATAGGAAAACCATATCGCAAACGGTTAATTTGCAAATCTTCAATCAATCATCAATCCATTGTCTGACATTTCAATCACTATTCATGCGTTTCATACAAATTCCATTGTGTTCCCACTCCTCTTCCTTTCTTGATCTTCCCCATCTTCTGCTGCCAGACATTACGGTGACACTCGCGTCATATACTACTTATAAGTAGCGCGCACCACAGAATCATTGTGATGATCATAAACCAAATGTATTGAATATGACTTACTGTGCAATATGACACAATTTATATTTGTTGTATTTTGTATAGGCGGTGACAGTATTTGAATGATTGAAGAGTTTGACCTACTTATGTACTTACTTACTTACTCGAATTACCCCCAGCGGAGCATAGGCCACCGACCAGGATTCTCCAAACTACTCTGTCCTGAACCTCCATTTCCAGTTCTGATCAATTTTTATTCATTTTACTCATGAGTGTCTTCATTTCTTGGTGTAATGTGTTCCTTAGCCTTCCTCTTTTCCTCTGGTCCTTGAAGGTTCTAAGTGAGGGCTTGTCTTGTGATGCAGTTGGGTGCTTTCCTCATATATGTGTCCTATCCACTTCCACAGCTTATTCCTGATTTCTTCCTCCACTAGAATCTGATTTCTTCTATCTCACAGTAGGTTGTTAGTGAAGGTGTCTGGTCAGCGCATCCAAAGTATTTTGTGGAGACAACTGTTAATAAATACTTGTATCTTCTGGAAGATGGCATTGGTATTTCTCCAAGTTTCCGCCAGACAGACAGACAGATACAACGCAGAACTTCGTACGTAAGTACATCAGTTCAGGTTGTCATGCCCCATCAGCACAAAGACGTTACTGTCAGTTCAAATCCAAGAGTGATAGCAATAATAGAAGTATTAGCAGTAATGGAGAAGATTAAGGAGCGAAGATATGATTCGAGAAGTATTATTCAGTAAGATAAATTTAGAAGGAGAAAGGTAGAGATTATGAGGAATGCAGAAGCTTAGAATTTCACAGAACACAAAGAGTGAATACACCTGCACCATTGCAAACGATTCTGAGCCATGTCGTTCAAGGTTTCTAACCATCGGTGACTATCGTCTCGCGGACTCCAACCAGGTAGTCTACATCTACCAACATGACTCAGACGACTTCATAGATTTCTGCCATGTTCTGGTTTGGCCGCCCCTAGCTTCCTTCCAACTTCTCCTACACCGCAAAACATAGCTCGTCGCGGCAGTTGGTGGTTAGCCATACGTAACACATGTCCCAACCATCTCAACTGATAAAGTTTCACTACTTCATCTACTGATTTGCCATCCCTATCTAGAACTCGTTTCCTAACGACAACATTGCTCATACGGTTGTTCCATGATACACGAGCAATACTTCGGAGACATCGATAATCGGAAACTATTAACCTACGGAAGTCCTCTACTCTTAACGGCCAAGTCTTGCATCCGTACAGTAGGACGGAGCGAACTTCTGAACAGTACACTCGTCTTTTAGTCAACAAACGGCCAAGTTTCCGCCGAACACAGTAGAACTGTCTTGACATTTGTATTGAAAAAATTCTGGCTTTAGTGTTTTTTGATAGTTGTTTTGAGTTCCAGATGTTATTAAATTGTAAAAATGCAACCCTTGCTTTCCCGATCCGCACCTACGCATCTGCATCAGATTCCATCTTGCTCGTCCATGATGACAGCTAAATTGTTTTGACAATATTAAAACTTTCAAGCCTTTTTTTTAATCTAAAGGCTAAATTCTTCACAAAACAGATGAACGGCGTACAGAAATGTAACTCCGTTTGGATTCTCAGTTAACAAAGTCGATTCCAGCATCATAATACAATGTTTGTTTGTTTGAAGTAAGAATTTTTTCAATTGTCCTTCAGCGAAACTGGATTCTTCAAAACCTCTAGTTTTGACTTTCTAAACTTTTCTCACTGAATCATACTTCTTGAATAATATCTTCTAATCCTAACCTCTCCGATTACTTCTAATACCTTTACTAACTCTTCTACTATTGGAATTGAATTGACAATTACATCTCTGTGCTGATGTGGTATGGCAACATGAACTGATGTACTTACGTACGAAGTTCTACGTTGCAACTGACTGACTGACTGATATGACAAATAAGAAGGTTAGCGAAGATTTTGCCAATGATCGAATCAAGTAAAATATCAAGGAGAAGGTGAAAATTCTCCTTAAGTTTGAAAGTAATCGTCTGAAAATATCATGATATCGAATACTCAGTACATCATTCTTTTCAACTTATCAATTAAACTTTTAGTAAACTGAAAACATGAGTGATATAAAGTTTTGAAAATGAGCATGTCGTTCACCTGATACATTTTAAAATTTTCTTTCTAGCCATTTTGTTAATTCGACAAGATTTTTGCTTTCCGGTAGAGTTACGCATGAAGAATAATATAAATAAAATCACTCAGTCAGTCAGTCACAACGTAGAACTTCGTACGTAAGTACATCAGTTCATGTTGCCATACCACATTAGCACTACATCATTAGTTCTATTGTGTCCCGACCGTAGCTGCTACCTTGACGTGGTGGTCGGGCTTGACTATCGTGATGACCCAACCGAGCTATACTGGCTGGAACACATGTTCCTGCAGGTCCTACCATGCCAGGCAAGTCGATTGGAGAACGATCAGACTAAAAGCAGCTACTCTAGGTCTGAGGGCGAAGTCGTACTGCTGACTGTAGAGGGGTGTGACAGCAGTAAGGTGTTTCACTCGGACAACCAGCATCTGCACCGATGCTGCCTTCTCACAAGAAGGAAGGGTTAGAAAAGGTCGACCCTAAAAATGTCACACCTCCCCTAACTCACGGATTTCCGTCTCCGTCGGTAAGGGTGCCCACTAAGGGCTCTCAAGAGCAGAGCTAATACTCAAAAATCCTTTCATAAAAAGGACGTGCGTGACCGGCCTCAAGCAGTTGTCCCTTGGACTCTGCGGTCACGCAACCAGGTCCCCGAGACCAACACTAATCTATTTTCCTTTTCAGGTTCCTCAAGAAACAACCTTCCACGGTTTGGGCAGCCGAGAAGTGATAACCACCCTCATACCCGTAACAGCACGAGAGACAAAATTGGGCAAAATTGACTTAATTTTAGTTTGGGTAACTAACATACAACAATCGAATCTGTTAGTCAGACAGCATTAGCAACAATCTACTGTAGAATAAAACAAACCAGGTTCCAACGGACGAATAAATCAGGAGGAAGCGCTGAAAGTGGATAGGACACACATTTGAAGAAAGCACCCAACTGCGTCACCAACAGACAAGCCCTCACATTTGGAACCCTCAAGCACAAAAAGAGACAGATATGAGAAGAATGAACAAAAAAAAGACAGAACTGGAAAGGGATGCGCAGGACAGACAGAGTAGGTTAGAGAATCCTGATCGGTGGCGTATGCTTCACCATTTGGGGTAACAGGCGTAGGCAATACAAAAATTAGGCCTAAACCTGACTAGATCAACTTATAACATATGAGTTACATAATTAATTATAAGTAGTAATCTTATAACTAGAAATAAAGAAATAAACTATGATATTACTTACCATGTTTTCCTTTTTCGATTCTGAATGAACAGGTGTTGGAACATCTAAGAAGAGAAATAATGATAGTAAGAACAGTAATTACGTAAACTTGAATCTTCAATGATATCAAAAATTAATATTATCTTTTGTAGTTCACAGCACCATCAGTAACAACTTACTGTGAGAGAGAACAAACCAGATTCTAGTGGAGGAGGAAATCAGGAAGAAGCAGTGGAAGTGGATAGGACACACATTACGAAAAGCACCTAACTGCATCACAAGACAAGCCCTCACTTGGAACCATCAAGGCATAAGGAAAAGAGGAAGGCGAAGAAACACATCACGCCAAGAAATAGAGAAAGATATGAGAGTAATGAACAAACATTGGACAGAACTGGAGAGGGAAGCCCAGTAGAGAGTTGGTTGGAGAATGCTGCTGGTTGGTGGCCTATGCTCCATGGGGGGTAACAGGCGTAAGTAAGTAAGTAAGTTTGTAGTTCACATTGAAAATTGACATTATTCAGATAACCATAGACAACTAACTATAAGGTAATGAATGGATAATCACGTTTTTTTTCCTAATATTGGACTCTTCTTCAACAAGTGAACACTCATAAATCACACCTAAGATCAGATCCACACTGGCATCAATAATGCCTTAAAAGTATGAAACTAGCATATCAATAGCTACTTAGAATAACATTGTATGTGATTGACCTGAAGTAGATGTCGACTGAGTTTTGTGGTCATGTTGTTAAGTCGTAAAGACTACTACACCTACCACCCAACTCTATTTCGGTTTCAAGTACCTCAAGAAAAAGTATTCTCCTACGATAGTGCCATTCACTTGAAATATTATTGTGCTGTTCGATGAGATGTTGTGTCGAGATGACCACGAACTTGTTCAATGATTATGAAAAGGTTTGAGTTTTCTCATTCTTGGTTTTCAGAACTACATCTGATAAGTTTTTGTTGTCATATGTTTATCCAAAGTAAAGTACCTCGATAATATCTTGGAACCCTAATCCTCTCTCTATTATGAGTAGTACTCCTACTATCTCCACCACTATGAGATTTGAATTGACAGTTGCGTCTCTGTGCTAACGTCGTGGTATGGCAACATGAACTGATATAATTACGTACCGAAGTTCTACGTTGCCTCTGACTAACTAACTGACCTCGATGTGGCAATTTTATTGAAAGCGTGAATCGATCAATGTCAGACCACCACTAGGAAAGCTGAAAGTACTGGATGACTGTATCGTTCAAGTATGCGATTCATCAGTAAGTAGTGTGCATAATCACGACTCTGCACTCAGAAATCGAACCTCGGGTCTTTGATCTCATGCGCAAACGCTTAGCCTTTAAAAACTGCTGAGCCGGCATCCAACAGTGTTAATGCCTAACTTCAATCAATTCATGCTATTGCACAACCTCATTCATTGTATTCACTGGGTATCTGACTCATAACCGACATGGTAGAATTCCACTAGTCATAGCTTCTCGCTAGGTAATATAGGTTATATAGTTCCAATGTGAACATCAACACTGAAATACATCTACATCGAGTTGTTATGACTCAGTATATTTTTTCAAATTTCCTTGCTAAGTTTCATTCAACTTTGAATAAAAGAAAGATTTATTATTACTAAGATTGTAAACAAATTCATTATTTTGCGTTGTAAAAGTTGTATTAGCATAATATTAAATAAAATTATTCAGAACAAAAAATTGAATTTAATTAACTGTTAAAATACTGAATTTTTACACATATATTATTAAGTTAAAAAAAAGGAATATGAAGTGGGAAGTAAAAATTTTCCACTCGCAAAATCCTTGACTGTCATTGGTTGATGATGGATTTTATTTTATTTACCGAAGGTCCTGGGTTCGAATCCTGCGGGGTGCAGGGGTCGTGGATACGCACTGCCACTGAGGAGTAGTCCTATACCAGGACGAAACGGCCGTCCAGTGCTTCCAGGTTTCTAATGGTGGTCAAACATTGATCGATTCATGGTCACAAATAAAACTTAACAATCTTCACAACAACCCCGCAATGGATTTTATTTTAGCACGCTATTTTTGTGGCTCTCACCAAGGACGTTCTATCAATTTTATAAATAAGCTTGAGTGGTATGCTTGTAGAATAAATAAATACATTCTCTATTCCTCCTTATCAAGACTTCTTGATATAGTTAACAGGGTCGGAGAAAATCGAATCAGAATAGCCTATCGGGTCACTACATCATTGATCCTAGTTCCGTTTACCGAGAGTAAGGTGAACTCGTAATAGCATTCAAGCATACCAAACACACACACACTCTCTCTCATTTGTATTTTGATCCAACTGAAACTTATTCTTAACAAGATTGTTGACCAACACTCCTATTATTGGGGCACAGTTTTGGAGGTTTGCGTTTTTACACATTTGAAATGATTAATCAATCATCATTGTTAGACCACCATTAGAAACCTGGAAGCACTGGACGGCCGTTTCGTCCTAGTATGGGACTCCTCAGCAGTGCGCATCCACGACTCCTGCTCCTCGCAGGATTCGAACCCGGGACCTTTGGCATTGTAGGCGAACGCCTTACCATCGGACCACTGGGCCGGCATCCAACGGTGTTAATGTCTAACTCCTATTATTATTATTATTATTATTATTATTATTATTATTATTATTATTATTATTATTATGATTGTCGCTAGATAATGTTTATACTACTTACAACAGAAACACGCAAATGTTCCAATTGCCTATTTAATATAAATATATTTATTGAATCCTAATATGATATGATTACCGTCATCATCATTATACTGACTGTATAGAATATAATCATTGAAGAAATTTTGGTTATGAACAACTTGTAGTGCCTCCACATATATTCGAGGAGTTCGCTTACATTTAATTTGGTTAAGCCCTTTCGATTAGTTTATTAAAACCAAGCCATTTGTTATAAACAATAACTTATATGTACCATTGGCTTTTATTATTGTGTGGTTTGTATGAGCTTGTATATAACTGAGCATTCCTTAACGCCTGTCTACGCGCATATGCATCCTATTCGCTTTAATATTGATCTCTTAAATATCACGATGACTCAGACATTTTCCTATGTATATATATGTACGAACATTTTAATCTTGTTAATACACTCGCACATTCGCCGCCCATTCACTCGCTAGTGTGCCTGCCCGGTCTACTTGTGGTATGCCAAAATAAACGTATTCAACACTTCGAGTTTACCTTCTGATTTATAAACCGCCAGACGCTATTTAGTAACGACGATTGTCCGAACGAGTTAATTATGAAGATTAAGAACACGTAGAAATTGGCCGCCACCACAAACTAACAGGAGATAATCAACACCAATAATAATAATCATAATCATAATGACGATTTGACAGTTAATTTTTATCTCAATTAATTACAGACAGAACTAATCGATCAGTGAAAGACACTCAGCATAGTGTGTTGTTGTTTCATGGGTAGTTTAATAATAAAAACACATCAGTGTAAATAATATACTACTAACAAAACTAATTGAATTTGGAATTTTTGATTTTCAATTACTACAAATGAGGTAGGTAGGTGTAGTTATAAATAATAATTAACATCCTTTTCAAACGATAACAAATAACTGTGTCTATGGTAGATTTTGACTGTATTAAAATAAAATATTCACCATGAATGATGAATAATGAATGAGCAATGAATGAATCCATAGATTATATTCAACATAATAGAGTAAACTCAGTTGATGTATTACAATATTACTAGGGAGTCTTATTTTATGGCTGTGAAACATGGCCAGTGAGAGTAGAAGATATTCGTAGGTTATTGGTTTTCGATCATAGGTGTCTTCGAAGCATCGCTCGTATATCCTGGGACACCCGAGTGAGCAACGCTGTTATTAGGAAACGGGTGCTATGTAAGAATGGCAGATCAATAGATGAAGTAATGAAACTTCATCAGTTGAGCTGGTTGGGACATGTGCTGCTGCATATGCCTAACCACCGACTGCCTCGACCAGCTTTGTTTCGTAGTGTAGGTGTAGGTTGGAAGAAATTTAGGGGCGGCCAAACCAAAACATGGCACAAATCCATGAAGTCATTGACGAGTGCACTGAGCCATGTCGGTAATTGTCGACTACTTGGTTGGGGTCCGCGAGATGATAATAATCGATGGTTAGATACCTTGAATGACATGGCTCAGAATCGTTTGCAATGGCGCCGGTGCATTTATTCTTTGTGTTCTCTCAAATCCTAATCTTCTGAATTATTCAACACCTCTAGCTTTGACTTTCTAAACTTTTCTCACTGAATAATATTTCTTGAATAATATCTTCTAATCTTAATCTCTCCGATTACTTCTAATACCTTTACTATCTCTTCTACTATTGGATTTGAATTGACAATTATATCTCTGTTCTTATAAGGTATAGCAACATGAACTGATGTACTTACGTACGAAGTTCTACATTGCATCTGACTGACTGACTGACTGACTGGGGAGTGCTGTAAAAAAACGGAAGTTTCATTCTACTATGGAACTAAGTAGCCGTTCGAATTGGTTATTTTATTAAGGGTCGAACACAAGAATCTTGCAGTCTTGAGGTTAATTGCTTAACCAATTAAACCATTGAGTGTGAAGTTCTACACTAAGGCTAACTAACAATTATTCAGTTATTCTGGTAGTTTTAAGTGTTATTCCAACTGAAATCAATTTGTGACGAATACAATCCTACAAGCTTGATTAATTTCTAAGAAATCGATCGATTCGGCTAAAATAATGAATCTTTTACAGAGAACAAAAAAGGAATAATATTAATATCTTCGGCAGACATTAACCGAAACAAATTTGATTAAGTACTTGATTCATGATGAATCATGCTTCATAGATGAATGAAAATCCAATGATACAACCGAATGATCCAAACATAAATCAATAAACTAGGATTAGGAATCGAGTATTTATACATGAAACATAAATATTAAAGTGTTTCAACAAACGAAATACATAAAACCTTAATTTCTTGATATTCAGTCAGTCAGTCAGTCAATCGGTTTGAACTTCGTAGATACGTACATCAGTTCAGGTTGCTATACCACATTAGCACAGAGACGCAATTGTCAATACAAATCCTATATTTACTAATATTGTTAATCTTATTATTATTCAGTCAGTCAGTCAGATGCAATGTAGAACTTTGTACGTAAGTATATCACTTCATGTTGCCATATCACATCAGCACAGAGATATAAATTCAAATCCAATAGTAGAAGAGATAGTAAAGGTATTAGAAGTAATCGGAGAGGTTAGGATTAGAAAATATTATTCAAGAAGTATGATTCAGTGAGAAAAGTTTAGAAAGTCAAAACTAGAGGTGTTGAAGAATACAGAAGATTAGGATTTGAGAGAACACAAAGAATAAATGCACCGGCGCCATTGAGAACGATTTTGAGTCATGTCATTCAACGTCTCTAACCATCGATTATTATCATCTCGCGGACCCTAACCAGGTAGTCGACAATTACCGACATGGCTAAGTCCACTCGTCAATGACTTCATGGATTTGTGCCATGTTTTGGTTTGGCCACCCCTAACTTTCTTCCAACCCATTCCTACACTACAAAACAAGCTCGTCGAGGCATTCGGTGGTTAGGCATACGCAGCACATGTCGCAACCACCTCAACTGATGAAGTTTCACCACTTCATCTATTGATCTGCCATTCTTACATAGCACCCGATTCTTAATAACAGCGTTGCTCACTCTCTTTATTATTACTATTATTATTATCTCATAGAGAATTTCGCCAGTGGACAGTTACATACACTATTAAGCACAATAAATAGGATAAGTCAGTTTACTTTTGTAAAAACTTGAACATATTACTATTTATGAATAATAATAATAATAATAATAAACTTTAATCAGACATATTTCACAATACGATAATGCAGAGAGACATGCGTTCTTCTTTTTTCCGCCTAGAATTTAATTTTCAATATATCGTTTCATTAATACACTACTTCGAGCTAATTTTTCTCTCTAAACTCCAATTCTCCAATATTAGTTCGTTTTATATTAGCATTGATATTATCACTCAATATTATTACCTAATGCTCAAGTTAGAGTTGATATGATTGGTGAAAAGAAATCGGTCATATAAAAAAGTGTATTTTACCATCCATAATTAAATGTCCATCTATTATTAGGAAACAAGTTCTAGGTAGGGATGGCAGATCAATAGATGAGGCATTGAAACTTCATCAGTTGAGGTGGTTGGGACATGTGCTGATGCGTATGCCTAACCAGCAACTGCCTCGACGAGCTATGTTTTCCGGTGTAGGAGTAGGTTGAAAGAATGTTAGGGTCGGCCAAAACAAAACATGGCACAAATCCATGAAGCCACTAACAAGTGGACTGAGTCATGTTGGTAGATTTAGACTAACTGGTTGGAGTCCGCGAGACGATAGTCACCGATAGTTAGAGACCTTGAATGACATGGCTCAGAATCGTTCGCAATGGTGCAGGTGAATCCACTCTTTGTGTTTTACGAAAAATTCTAAGCTTCTTCATTCCTCATAATCTCTACCTTTCTCCTTTTGAATTTATCTCACTGCATTATACTTCTCGAATCATATCTTCGCTCCCTAATCTTCTCCATTACTGCTAATCCTTCTATTATTGCTATCACTCTTGGATTTGAACTGACAGTTGCGTCTGTGTGCTAATGTGGTATGGCAACCTGAACTGATGTACTTACGTACGAAGTTCTGCGTTGTATCTGTCTGTCTGACTTTTAGAGTATTCTGATTAGGTAGGTAGGGTGTCAAAAGTATGAAATTCATAAAAAAAATTTTTAATGTCATAAAAGCTAAAAGTCCATGGATTAAGCACTTTTTATAGTGGTTATGGAAGCAAGCAGTTGAAAAGTTCAAAACTAGTAAAATAACCAACTATCCAGTGAAGCTACCCTTTTGGTTTTCATCAACTTATTAGCACTACTAACACATTAAATCAATATGCAATGGAATTTATAGTGAATAGGCTAACCAATTCAACACTTCGATATTGACAACAATTATAACGGGAAAGTTTACCAGGATTATCTGATTACATAAATATATATATATATATATATTCATTTGAAATAACTCCGCCAGTAGAACCTTAGGGGCTACTGCCGGTCCCAAGCCCGGATAAAGGAGGAGGGTTGGACATGGGGGTTGGCGACCCCATTCCGTCGAAATCTAACTTGCCAAAAAACGCTAAACGCATTTGAAATCATGAATCAATCAATGTTAGACCACCATTAAAGAAACCTGGAAGCACTGAACAACCATTTCGTCCTGGTATGCGACTCGTTAGCAGTACGAGATTCACAACTTCTACACCTCACAGGATTCGAACCCAGAACCTTGGGTTTTGCGTGCGAACGCCTAACCCCTGGACCGCTGAACCGGTGTATATCTAACACTGTTAATATCAAACTTTAATCAATGCAATAAAATTATCAACAACAAAGCAAACAAAACAAACTTACCCAAACAACCCATTTGTGTAATAATAGTTTGTCCATCTTCTGTAACAGTTACAAATTCCACTGTTTCAAGAATACCTTCATAATTTGCAAGTAATTCATTTTCTAAATCTTTATCTAATTCCAAATCTGAATCATCTTGATTACTACTAGTATCATCATCATCATTCTCTGTTGTATCCTGAGTATTGAGTAACGATTTATTTGAATAATTCACAACAGTGTCACTGTTGTCAATTGTATGAACTGTCAACGTTGTAAACGAAGGACTACTAGCAGTAGTATTAGTAGTATTAGTAGTAGTTATATCCGAATTACTAGTTACAGTCGATTGTGAATTTTCTTTTTCAATCGGATTATGAAGAATTGGGATATTTGTAATGGGATCAATGGTTTTCGATGGAGAATGCAATAGTGATTGGGAAATTAATCCATTCAATAAATTGTTAGTAGTATTAGTAGTATGTTCATCAGTAGTAGAAGAATGATCGGAAAAATTGTTATCTATACAACTACTACTACTTGTTAAAATAGGATTATTAGTAGTATTGGTAGTGGTAGTAGTAATAGTAGCAGTACTGGAATTGTTATCATTCACTTTAATACTACAACATTTATTAATTGTACTACCACCACATGATAATTTATGATTATTTTTTAAAAATAAAATATTTTCATCTAATTTGGAATTTTTTATGTCCAATAAACAATTCTGTTGTACAGAAGAATAATTTATTGTGGGATTGGAAGTTTTTATTAATTGTGAATCCGTTGGATCAGTATTAGTATTATTAGTAGTAGTAGTAGTATCAGTATTATGATTATGATTATTATGATTATGATGATTGCCATCAGGACCAATCACATTAGAGCATTCTGTCTGTGTACTTGTCATTAGGCTACAAATTTCACCAATCATCAATTGAGCTGTCATATAACCTGTGGTATCACCCAACTGCAGGCAAATATACATATATGTACATATATATACACATATGCGCAGTACATACATGTGTGTGTACCATTGTATTTGACGTGTACATGTGTGTGTATGGATGTGTGTGTGTGTGCGTTGTATAGGAGGTAAATTATTCGGCAATTCACGTGTAGATAGATAGATAGATGTTCGTTCATCCACAATGAACAAAAAAAAAACGAAAAGAAATCATTTAAAGCAGTTGTTCGCACGAATCCAATGTGTCAGTGAGTGAGTGAGTGAGCAGGAGACCGAGAGGCAGGAAATTTTTTACAAAATAATATGCAAAGGAGGAAAAAAAATTGAGAAAACACGAAATAAGAAAAAAATACGAAAAAAAAAGGGATCAAACCACATTCTAATTCGACTTTTATTACTCTACCTACTTTTTTTTCAGCAATCATCTTGTTATCGCTCATTTTGTTTTTTTCTCAGTGTCATATAACACGACAGATAAAATGTCAATTAAACGAGAGAGAGAGAGAGAGAGAGAAGAAAATTTCAAAATTTATTTATTTCTCTGTAAACTAACTCTACACTACTGATTTGATCTTGAAATTCAACTGATTGGAAACAACAACAACAACAATAACACTGAAGAGTGAGTGATGAATCGATCAACTTTTCAGTATCATAACAAACAGACGATTGTGTAGACAGAAGAGAAGATAAGAGTATGTAGGTTATTTCTTTTTGCTATCAAATGGGCAAAGATTTATCATATCAGATGAAAAAAAATTATCTCAATCAAGCAACAAGACACATACATGTCAGCGCGCGCGCGCAAAAAAATAAAAGTGACAGACATGTGTCTATGATTAGAATGTTGAAAGGAAGTATGGCAATTTGATGATGATGATCATCAGTCATTCAGTGATGTGATGAAGAGATAATTGCTTCAGAAAATGAAATCCACACAACGTTTGATATAATCGGTAAATGTTTTTAAAACTTGGTGAAGAAGCTGACAAAATGCAGAGTTTTCTGACCACCCTGAGCAACAAACAATGTAAGCATGTTCAGGATACGGTTCACACCCTCAAATGCCAAATGTTGCTTCGAGATTGGGTTTCATCGGCACCTGAACTAGTGATAGGGAGTGAAGTAGTCGAGCGTGTTGACCGCTTCACTTATCTTGGGAGTCGCATCAGTGCTGATGGCCTGGTGACTGACGAAATCTCAGCTCGGATACAGAAGACTCGATCGGCTTTTTCCAACCTGCGTCACTTATGGCGCAGGCGAGATATCCGTTTGCTAACCAAAGGAGGAGTGTACTGTGCAGCACTTTGCTCCGTCCTACTGTACGGATGCGAGACTTGGCCGTTAAGAGTAGAGGACTTCGGTAAGTTACTAGTCTTCGATCACCGATGTCTCCGAAGCATTGCTCGTGTATCATGGGATAACCGTACAAGCAATGCTGTCGTTAGGAAACGAGTTCTAGGTAGGAATGGCAAATCAATAGATGAAGTAGTGAAACTTCATCAGTTGAGATGGTTGAGACATGTGCTGCGTATGCATAACCACCGACTGCCTCGACGAGCTATGGTTTGCAGTGTAGTAGATTGGAAGAAAGTTAGGGGTGGCCAAACCAAAACATGGCACAAATCCATGAAGTCACTGACAAATGGACTGAGTCATGTTGGTAGATGTAGGGTACCTGGTTGAGGGCCGTGAGACGAAAGTAACCGATGGTTAGAGACCTTGAATGACATGGCTCAGAATCGTTTGCAATGGCGCAGGTGCATCCCCTCTTTGTGTTCTATCAAATTCTAAGCTTCTGCATTCCTCATCATCTCTAACTTTCTCCTTCACAATTTATCTTACTGAATTATACTTCTCGAATCAAATTTTCGCTCCCTAATCTTCTCCATTACTGCTAATACTTCTATTATTGCTATCACTGTTGGATTTGAACTGACAGTTGCGTCTCTGTGCTGATGGGGCATGGCAACCTGAACTGATGTACTTACGTACGAAGTTCTGCGTTGTATCTGTCTGTCTGTTTAAAACAATTGAATCAAGCTTACATGTTTTAGCTTATTTTGGAGCATGTCAACTAGATAAATTCAAATCTTAAGGTTATTCGATGTTCATTCAACATTGGGGTACTTGAATATAAATATCATTTGATTTGTTCAAGAGCGCTAATAATGATAATACTTGATTGGTCAAATCAAAATATAAATGAGGATTAGAGTTCGAACACTTGATTTATTGATTTAAAAAAACAAATACTTTTGAACAGTAAAGCATTAACTCCAACGAATAGAGCCATCAATAAACTGTAACTTCAAGCTTAGTTAAACTAATCAAAAGGTTGATGAATTCATGTTTTACAGCAAAATTCTAAAGTTAACAGTATCTAGGTATTATTTATTTTCAGGCAGTCCAGTTACAACATCGAACTTCGTAAATACGTACGTACGCATATCAATTCAAGTTGCTATGCCATATTAGCACAGAGACGCGATTGTCAGGTCAAATCCCATAGTAGTAAAGATAGTAGAAGCTGACCTTGACGGTTCAAAGTGAGAGCTTCCCTTGTGACGCAGTTGGGTGCTTTCCGCAACCAACTCTGTCCTGAGTTTCCCTCTCCAGTTCTGTCCAATGTTTGTTCATTCCTCTCATATCTTTCTCTATTTCTCAGCGTAATGTGTTCCTTGGCCTTCCTCCCTTACTTTTGCCTTGAGGGTTCAAAGTGAGAGCTTCCCTTATGACGCAGTTCGGTGCTTTCCACAATGTATGTCCTACCCACTTCCAGCACTTCTTCTTCTTAATTTCTTCCTCCGCTAAAATCTGGTTTTTTCTGTCCCACAGTAAGTTGCTGCTGATGGTGTCTGGCCAACAGGTCCTCAGTATCTTGCGTAGACAAATGATCTTAATAAATACTTGTATCTTTAGGATAACGCCTATCGTGATTTTCCAAGTTTACACACCCACCCATACATTAAAGCTGTTTTGACATTTGTGCTGAAAAAAATTCGGACTTCAACGTTTTATTGATAGTTGCTTTGAGTTCCACAGATGTGGCTTAATTGCAAAAAAAATGCTTCCTTCCCTTGCTTTGCTTTGCTAATAATCTATGTCTTCACATCTGCATAAAAACCCATCTTGCAATATCAATCAATGATGCTACCTCCAAAGCTTCTCCGTCAAATGTTCTCAATGTAACCAACTATATAAATATTGAAAGATCTCTTCGTTCTTTTTTCTATTGAATACTAGTTGTTTTAATTTTTTTTTAAATTAATTGATTAAGGATAATTATGTCAAATCAATAATTATTTAGTATTTTTTTGAAAGGCGAAAAAATTTACTAAAAAAAAATTAGAGTATAGATTTGACAATATTATGTCATTTTCAATTTAATTTTAAATTTAGGTCATATTCTTGACATTAGGTGGTAGTAGTATAAAAAAAACAATGTCATTCTTGTGAAGATTGTTGTTGAATTCATAGTGGAGTTTAATAGTTTGACAGTTATAAACGCTTGTTTTAAGACCCTGAAGGTCATTTTGGGTTGGATGGAGGATACTTTGAGTAGAGTTGTGTATGTTGTACTGGTTGGTGAAACGTTTTGTACTAAAAACGGAAAACTTATCGAGTGGTTCGTAGTATTCAAAGTCATTATGTGATGAGAAACTTTATCAATCCACTTTCCAGCTTTAGTTCACAAGATATATATATATATATATATATATATATATATATATATATAACTTATTTATTTAAAACCTTGAATTCTGATAGTCATTCAGTTACAACGTAGAACTTCGTACATGAGAACATAAGTTCAAGTTGCCATATCGCGTTAGCACAGAGATGCATGCAACTATGAATTCAAATCCAATAGTGGTAGAGATACTAGAAGCATTAGCGGTAAATAGGAAGATTCCGATTCGAAGATATTATTCAAGAAGTATAATTCAGTGGGATAACTTTAGAAAGAGAAAGATGGAGGTGATGAGAAATTCGGAAGATTAGCATTTCCGAGAACACAGAGTGGATGCACAAGCGCCATTGCAAACGATTTTGAGCAATGTCGTTCAAGGTCTCTAACCATCGGTTACTTTCGTCTCACCGACCTCAACCAGGTAGCCTACATCTACGGACATCACTCAGTCCACTTGTCAGTCACTTCATGCATTTCTGCCATATTTTGGTTTGGCCGTCCCTAGCTTTCTTCCAACCCACTCCTACACCACAAAACATAGCGCAACGAGGCAGTCGGTCGTTGGCCATACGTAACACATGTCCCAACCACCTCAACTAATGAAGTTTCAATATTTTATCTACTGATTTGCCATCCCTACCTAGAACTCGTTTCCTAACACTATAGCATTGCTTACTCGGTTGTCCCAGAATACACGAGCAATGTTTCGAATTTTTAATGGACTAAAATGGAAAGGATCATTTTTATCAATTCAACTCATAAAAAGAACTAACAATTCACTAATATATAAATAACACACATACACACACAGACAGAGAGTAAACAATTCAACATTTTTATTTACCTGACGAGAAATTCGACGATGACGTTTAGAACAACGTAAAGCTAAATCATATCGTTTTAAAGCAGTATAAGCATTTGCTAATGACCAGTGAGCACGACCTTCACCAATACGATCACATAGACCACGAGCAATAATTAAATGTCTAAGCAAGAATACAACAGCTGTACTTGGATCTCTTAATAAAATATATGTATTGCCTAAACTGAAACATGCTTGTGCTTCAAGTGATGTATCTTTTAAACGTACTGATAATTGTAATGCTTCGCTGAAATAAATAAATAAAAATATTATTGGAAATTAGAATGGAGAAACTAATCAATAAGAAAAAGTATATTTATTGAATTGGGCATGATTATTGACTGACTCACCTTACTGACTTACTTACTTATGCATGTTACCTCCAATAGAGCATAGGCCGCCCACCAGCAGCATTCTCCAACCAACTCTGTCCTGGTCTTCCCTTTCCAGTTCTGTCCAATCTTTGTTCATTCCTCTCATTTCTTTCTCCATTTCTCGGCGTAATGTGTTCCTTGGCCTTCCTCTTTTCCTTTTGCCTTGAGGGTTCCATGTGAGGGCTTGTCTCGTGACGCAGTTAGGTGCTTTCCGCAATGTGTGTCCTATCCACTTCCACCACTTCTTCCTGATTTCCTCCTCCACTGGAATCTGGTTTGTTCTCTCCCACAGTACCTTGTTGCTGATGGTGTATGGCCAACGAATACGAAGTATTTTGCGTAGACAACTGTTAATAAACACTTGTATCTTCTGGGTGATGGCTTTAGTAGTTCTCCAAGTTTCCGCTCCATACAGTAGAACTGTCTTCACATTTGTATTGAAAATCCTGATTTTGGTGTTGAATGATATATGTTTGGAGTTCCAGATATTTTTCAACTGTAGAAATGCAACCTTTGCTTTGCCAATCCGCGCACTCACATCTGCATCGGATCCACCTTTCTCGTCGATGATGCTGCTCAGATATGTAAAGGTGTTAACGTACTCCAAGGCATCTCCATCAAGCGTAATTTGGTTGGTGCATGTTGTGTTGCATCGGAGAATTTCGCTTTTTCCTTTATGTATATTGAGACCTACTTATTGACCCACCTACTACCAACTAACTAGACACAAACTTTGAGTTACATTTTAAGTGTGTGGAGCATACTGATACAACCCAGTTGACTAAACTAAAATGTACACAGAGAGATTCAAGTCTGAGACTACTGAGTGAGTAGATGATGAACAGAGAGTAACCGCTTACCTGCATCTTTATCATAGTTGAGTATGAGTAATTCAAGTAAGGAGGAAAATCACTTCATAAGATTAATAACTTAGAAAAATGAGTTCTACTACTATTATTCAGTGTAGACCCATGGCGAATTGGAGAGAAGAGGGGTTCAGCACAGTTAGACGAACAACCTACAGAGTTTAAAGTTAATATTCATAAAAAATCATTTAAGAAACCTTGAACTTTTGAAGGATTAGTTGTTTGAGACGTTATGATGATGTAGGATAGCTAGAAGTCAGTCTCATAGATCCAAGCAGAAATATTCTTTGGTTTCGATTCAAGTTGTTACTTATTTCCTCAGTATTTTAAATGTCGCGCAAAATCTGTAGATTGGTCAGAGTTAGACATTAACACTGTTGAATGCCGGCCCAGAGGTTAGGCGTTCGCGCACACGACCGAACATCTCATTCACTACATTTGGTGTCGCTGCCTGCTCGAAGGAAGGGGCTTCCGTGGCCGAAGGAGTTGCAGGGCGGAGATTGGCGGAGCTTCCTGGAGGAGTTTGGGGACACGGTGGAGCTGGTGGGGGCTTGGGGCAGAGTTGGCGGTGCTGGGGACGCTGCGGGGAGGTGAGGCGAAGGCGGTACACGACAGCCTGGACGGTGCCACCGAGGAGACGGCGTGGGAGACGGTCACCGGGCGGCTGATAATGGAGTCCGACAGCCCAGCGGACAGGGAGGAGGCGCCGCAGAGGTTCCGGTTGGCGCGGCTGTCGGCCGATGGTGACCTGTTGGTGCTTGCTGTGGAGCTCACCGGATTGCGCCGTGAGGAATGGGCGGGGCACAGTCTTTGGCGTCGCAATTTATCGAGTGTGTGCCCGCCGCCGTGTTCCAGCATCGGGAACTTGTAAACGCTACACGTTGGGTAGATGCCGTATCCACTCCAGACCAGTGATCAAGAACGATGACCGAAGTGGTAATCCGGCATATTGTAGCGTGTCACGGAATACGGAAGGTGATATTAACTGACCAGGGGCTCTGTTTTGAAGGACTACGACGACAGCTTATTAAAAGGGGGAACGAGTGTGGTGCTGTGGTGCGAACTACTTATAAGTAGTATATGACGTGAGTGTCAACGTAAAGTCTGGTAGCATAATATGGGGGGAAGATCAAGAAAGGAAGAATTAGAAAACAATGGAATTTGTATGAAACGCATGAATAGTGACAATGGAGTGATGTTTTGCAACAAGAACAGTCCAGTTCCATAGGATGAACTGATCTTTTGCAAATTAACGATTTACCATATGGTTTTCCGATTTTACTGGGTAACTCTGTAATTTTCGCTAAATACAATTTGGTTATCCTGACCTGTGTTCTCATTCACTACACTGGGATCAATCCCAACTTTCGGAGATCGTAGATGCGCATTACTGAGGAGTCCCAATACTAGGATGAAACGGCCATCTAGTGTTTCTAGGTTTCCAATAATGGTCTGACATTGACCGATTCATGATTTCAACGAAAGAAAATAAACGCAACAAAGTTTTCACCTTAGATCAATTTCGAAAAATAACCAATCTCATAGAAGATTACAAAAAAAAGAAATCATTTTTTTTTTCTACTTTTAAAGAAAATACAACAATCTCACCGATAATGTTCAACGGCTGCATTGAAATCAGCTAAAAATATAAATGCATTGCCAATATTACTATGAGCACGTCGTTGAGCAGTTAGATCACCAAATTCTTTAGCAATTTTTAAACGCTAAACAATTCAATAAATTTAAAACAAATTAAGCACATTTGAATAAATATTTTGATAGAATAATAAACAAAAGTAGTTGATCTGAAAAATGTTGTAATGTATTTGCGTCATAGCCCATTGCATTCATCAGTTTGCATGCTTATATGGACATACATACATACATACATAAGGAAGAGTAATTGGACAATCCAATCAAGAGTTACGGAACATGTACTGTTGTGCATGAAAACGCAGGTGAGGACATCGACATCTATATATTTAAGCGAATACTACTGAGTTGTTAAGCATATGTACTAAACCTTCCCGTCAAATCATCATTTGCAAACTAATCCTTATTTGTCTCATATTTCAGTGTTCTTTCATTTAGACTGTTCAGACTTCACAGTTCACTTTATGTGACGCACAAATCGCCTTCTGTTCTCATTCTTTCCTTCTTGATCTTTTGCTATCAGACGTTTGATTTCCGTTTGATATCGTTATACTACTTATGTGAATATAAGTAGCGTACATCACAGTACTATCATGTTCATCAATAGCAAAACGCATAATACACAACAGGGCATAGAATTGACATTAAGACAGCTTTTAAAATATTTGTATAGAAATTGTTCAAGGACGAATTCTTAGATTTATAGAAAAGCCTTGGTTATTTGTAGATTCGAGCCTCCTTCCTTAATGTGTACAAGAAAACTTTGTTGTAACCTTGAATTCACCTTGACCATCTCTTTAAGCCATTTTATGACCTAGAATAATGTGACAATTTCCTTATCTTTCAATACTATGTTAATATTCTCTCTCTCTCTCTTTTATTTACAATTATCACTGGGGTTTTATTTGAACTTCTCTACTTAATTGACCTTTGTTGATTTTCATTTAAAATACCACGACAAGTGAATGTGTGTGTGTGTGTGTGACCAGATTGTTCGAAATGTATATCGTGCAAATACACTCACAACACTGTTTCACATCAATTACATCTTCTCATTGTTGTTATGTCAAATGGTGAATGAAATTGAGATTCGAATATGGATAGGTGGAATGTTAATTCTTCTAATCTTTCCAATAGGCAATTGTACGCTCTCTATACATGTACAATGCATCAATCTACTTACTAATAAGTCAAGGAAAGAACCTTCTCTTAAAAAGTGTAAATAATTTAATTTTCGAAAATAATTCTCATCACAGATAGATATTAAACTACTGAATGATGGGGTCATGATGAATATTCTTCATTGATCAGAGATGGAAGTGGGTCAATGACTACCGAATCAATCATGGTTCGTCTAATGATTAAATGTTCACCACGAACGAGACCTGGGCGTCTTAGGTTCGTTCGATTCGTGGTTAGATGTTAGAAGATCAGCAGTGTAGATGAGGAATCTCACATTATGAGTAAACACATATTCAGTGCTTCTCGGTTTTGAATGATATCTCAAATGAGATTAATTTGTGATGAATACAACACCAATACGCCTGGCAAATAGGTGAATCGGTTTAAGTTGCTACAACACCACATTTGCACAGCTAGATTTCAAAGTAGTATATGTTGTCGCAGTACTAATGGTGGAAGAATGCATTAAAGATAGATAATATTTTTCAACAGAACATGTAGGCCCATGATGTAAAAGAAATTTTTTGAAGTAATTTGAGAACTTAGAGTCTAAAAACAAAAAGTGGGCGGGCATGCGCCAGTGAGAACTATTTTACATAAAGCCACCCAAACTCTAACCATTGTTTATGAGAATCAGGTGGATATCAAACAGATAATCGGCACCTAACTTAACGGTTCAGTTAATTAAGTTCACGGACTGATGCTATTTGTTGCTTCTGTAATCCTTAACGTTCTTCGAATTAACTGATACATCAGCCATGATTGACCACCGAGGTAGGAAGAGTGGTTGGGAATGCATAATACACATAGCCCAACTATCTCAGTCAATGAACTTCTATTACCTAATCAATAGATCTGACATTCTTACCTAGTATCTTGAGTTTAAACTTGACATCGTTCATTTAATGATCCCAACACGTATGAACAATAATTTGAAGGCATCTATGGTGACTTATGAATAAGAAATAGAGGAGAAGCGCTTGACAAATGTTTAACATCTTAGTTGAAAACTGTTTAGTAGTTTCCATCCACTACTGCTAAATACACTGAATAAGGCAATAGATTTTGCAATGTCTCATGCTTTATATCTTGATGGGGGTCATGGGAGTCTGAAGAGACCATACACTGTTCTAAGGTTACAACAATATGTGTGAAATGCTAGAATGAGTTATTTTAAGCGAAATAAATATCAGCAAACAAGTTGATGGGACTAATACAATTTTTTTCCAGAAAAATGTAATAATCACAGGAAAGATTTAGAAGTTGTTGTGGTGGTCAGTGTCTCACTAGTTTCATGACAATCGGTATCCAACATGTTCTAAGACATTCGTGGGATGAACCCTGCTTGGCTGAGCGCTTGCGCTTGGTCGAGTCCATGACATCTTCCTCATGGAAAGGTGTACGTTCTAGCTGACCTTGTGGGACAAACTCGATCTTTAGCTTTATGCGGGGTAAGGTGGGCCTCGATCGATCGTATCAACGCAAGGCAGTTGGAGGCCAGACGGTTGGAATGGCTGCTGGTTAGTGCACTGCTTGTGTGGCTCGGCAACCTGCTACGGGGTCCCCTGTCCGGAAGCATAAGCCCGCCTTGCCGCCCTCGCCGATTGGAGATTGTGGGCTGTGGTTTGGTTGGTGGGATTTCTTGATTCATAAGTGCCCGTGCAGGGGCCACTGCTCGTGTGCGTGCTTTTTGGATGTCCGATGTGTCTGCAGACCAAACCGGACAACATGTATGTACCAGAAAGGGGCAGGGGTCAGTACTGTTGGCAACAGTGAGTATCCTTGTGCTGTATATCAACGCAGCGATGTGCATGTGCAGCAGGCATGTTGGTTGACCATGAATATAGCCGAATGCCTCGTCATCTAATTGAATGGGTATATTAGGTGACGCGCATAAATGGAGCCTTTTGGGGGTTGTGGTGACGGCTACCTCTTCGTGGTCCTGCCAGGCAACGTGGCGTTGTTTACAGCGCTGCGGCTAAAAGCCGTTCCGAACGCTTAGGATACCGTGCCTAGCATGGTCCAGAATAATGGTACGTGTTCATGGTCGCAAGGCTGTGGATGCGGTTAGCCACTCTGGGGGATTAGGACTGAACGTTTCTAAGTCTGAATCCCGTCCATCGAGCGTAGGTAAATCCCGATAATGGTTTGAGGACTTGTCCTCTATCATTCCGTAGTAGTAAATACCTTTAAAGGGATGTAGCTTTCCAGGATGATTGAAGGCGGTCCTGGACGTTCTGTTTAGGGAAGCAGCCGTAGAATCCTGCATTATAGACGCCGACCCTATGTGGTTGCCTCTTACACTCTGCACCCGATGTAGTGTGTGAACTGGCGTCGAGGACCCTTAAACAAGGGTCTCCAGTGCAGAACTGGTACTGGACGCCAATGATGTCTGCCCACTTCTACGGGATGAACCCTGTTTGGCTAGGCGCTTGCGCTTGGTAGAGCTCATGACATCTTACTCATGGAAAGGTGTACGTTCTAGCTGACCTTGTGGGACAAACTCGATCTTTAGCTTTATCCGGGGCCTTGGGGACTCCGATCAATTGTATCAGCGCAAGGCAGTTGGAGGCCAGACCGTTGGAATGGCTGCTGGTTAGTGCACTCGGTAATCCGCTTTGGGGTGCCAGGTTCAGCTGGGTAAGCCCGCCTTGCCGCTCTCACCGATTGGGGTTTGTGGGTAGTGGACTGGTTGGAGAGATCTTGTTGATTCATAAGTGCCCGAGCGGGGGCCACTGCTCGTGTGAGTGCTTTTTGGACGTCCACCTGTCTGCAGACCAAACTGGACAACAACATATATGTTCTCGATTACGGCAGGGGTGATTACTGTTGTCTACAGTGAGAATCCTTGTGTTGCCTAAAAAGCAGCGATGTGCATGTGCAGCAGACTTGATAGTTAACCATGCCACCATACGTGGCTATCATCTACTTACGTTTGTTACCCTTATTGTGAAGTAGAGACCACCTAACAGTAATCTTCAACCAACTTTGTCCTGAATTGTTCTTTCTAGTCATTCTCAATCGTAACTAAGTAATTAAGTAAGTTATATATGATTTGTACAGCCAAATTATCTACTTTAATCGTATTTTCTCATTAATATGCAATCAACACTGATTTCCTCTCTTTTTTTCTCTCTGTATGTAGGCTTATAACTCTATCAATAATATCTGGTTTAGTAAGAGATATTACATTAAATAAAAATAAGGCTTTGATATATATACTGTAATTTTGACTAAAAAAAACTAAATTATCTAATTATCTCAGTTTCTATATAGTTTATTATTTTGGATGGATGAATCACCCCATAATAATAATAATAATAATAATAATAATAATAATAATAATAATAATAATAATAACGAATCAACTTACTTCTCTATAACATTCAATTGCTTCAGTGAAATTACTCAATAAATAATAAGCATTTGCTAGACTGCCAAGAGCTCGACCTTCAGCTGGTCGATCACCGAGTGTTCGAACTAATTCCAGACCCATTCTATACATAGAAAAATTTTTAAACAAGAACAACAATAGAAGAATGTAAATCAATCACATTAAAAGAATTATGTCGTATATTATTATATAAACTTCAGGCATGATACATGATGTATGAATGTGTATGATATGTTTACTTAGATATTAAGAAATAATGTCCATAGATTAAATTGTAACAAGGTGATCTAGTGTTCATACATTAAGTCAGTCAATAGCAACGTAGAATTTCGTACGTACGTACGTACATACATCAGTTCATGCTGCCATACCACATTAGTACACAGAGATGCAATTGTCAATTCAAATCCAATAGTAGTAGAAGTAGTAAAGGTATTAGCAGTAGTCGGAATGGTTAGGATTAGAAGATATTATTCAAGAAGTAGAATCAAGTGAAATAGACTTAAAAAGATAAAGATAAAGTGATGAAGAATTAAAAAGTTTAGAATTTCAGAGAACACAGTGAATGAATGCACCTGCGTCATTGCAAACGATTTTGAACCATGTCGTTCAACGTCTCTAACCATTGGTGACTTTCGTCTCGCGGACCCCAACCAGGTAGTCTACATCTACCAACATCACTCAGTCCACTTGTCAGTGAATTCATGGATTTCTGCCATGTTTTTGTCTGGCCACCCCTAGCTTTCTTCTAACCAACTCCTATATCGCAAAACACAGCTTGTCGAGGCAGTCGGTGGTTAGGCATATGTAACACGTCCCAACCACCTCAACTGATTAAGTTTCAATACTTCATCTATTCACCTGCCATCCCTACATAGTACTCGTTTCCTAACAACAGCGTTGCTTACTCAGTTGTACCAGGATACATGAACAATCATTCGAAGATATCTATAATCGAATACTAATAACCTACGAATGTCTTCTACTCTTAACGGCCACGTTTCGCAGCTATAAAGTAGGACAGAGCTAACTGCTGCACAGTACACTCGTCCTCTAGTCAGCAAAAGAAAATATCTCGCCGATGCCATAAGTGACGCAGGTTAGCAAAAACTAATCGAGCCTTCTGTATCCGCGCTCAGATTTCGTCACATACCAGGTCATCAGCACTGATGAGACTCCCAAGATAAGTGAAGCGGTCTACACTTTCGACTACTTCACTCCCTATCACTATTTCAGGTGCCCACACAACCCAGTCTTGAAGCACTATTTTGCATTTCGAGGGGGAAAACCGCATCCCGAACATGCTTGCTTGTCTGTTGCTTATGGTGGTCAGAAAACTCTGCATTTTGTCAGCGTCTTCACCAAGTAGAACTATGTCATCAGCATATTCTAAGTCAGCAAGCGATTTTCCTGGTACACATTAAGTATATCTTTAGATCAAGGAGTCAAGCACTTTAGTGAAGCAAAATGCAACAACAACGTATAGATTTTAAACCTAGTATGCAGAAGAAGAAAGTGACTACTGGTATACATGTCTATCAAAATGTTAACACATACATATACAGAAAAATTCAGTTTCTCAAAGGACACTCATAAGTGATATACAAGAAATGTAGACAAGATTATATTTGATGTGCACAAACCATTTGTAGTACCTTTAATTAAATGATGTTTAAAGCTGATTCCCACTCGAAGGTGGTTGGTTATCTTTTCTTATCTTAAACAGTAAGCACACACTACTACTGTGGTGCGAGCCACTTATAAGTAGTATATGACGTGAGTGTCAACGTAATGTCTCGCAGCAGAAGATGGAGGAAGATCAAGAAAGGAAGAGTTAGAAAACAATGGAATTTGTATGAAACACATGAATAGTGACAATGGATTGATGTTTTTGCAACAGGAACAGTCCAGTTCGATAGGATGGACTGATATTTTGCAAATTAACGATTTACGATATGGTTTTCCGATTTTACTGAGTAACTCTGTAATTTTCGTTAAATACAATCCGGTTACCCCACCTGTGTTCTCGTTCACTACTACTACTACTGCATGAAGATTTATTGATTTTCTTTCGACATTTAAAGAATTCTTTCTCTTATCCATCTGATAATGTTTAAATGTTACTTTTATGGTTTGGTTTGCAGGAGTCCTGGATGATGCACACTGCTGATGAATCTCATATACCAGGACGAAACGGCTGTCCAGTGCTCCTAGGTTTTTAATGATGGTCTAACATTGATTGATTCATGATTTTAATAAAGTGATTTTTATAGTTGATTTCAATAAAATACAACATCTCAGTCCTACAAGAAGCCAGCCACGATCTGAATAGGTCAATGGTAACGTAACTAACTGTCAGGAAGACTTTATCTTCTTTAGTTGTTTTTTTTTCAGTTTTGTTCAATAAATGATAGTTCTGAAGTGTAAGGAATCAGGTGGTAATCTTAGTTGTTAACTGATTGGTTGTTTTCTCTATGGCTGTTTATTTTGTGTTCCAAGGTCAGTAACGCTGAGTTGACCTTGAGGAAATTCATCTGCTTAGCACAAGGTTAAAGAGGGTTATAAATTAGAGTCAGGAATTAAGATTAGGATTTAGAGTTAGCAGGGGGTTAGGAATTAGATGAAGAGTTTTCATTAAGAATTGATATCAGCTATAATGCTAAAGTGCTACTTAGCAAAAAGTCCAAGACTTGCGGTCTTAAATATTAATCATTATTAATTATAGTCTCGCTGCCCTCATACAGATTTAATTGTGACCAATTTGGTTTCGTGTGCTGTTATGGGTGTGAGGGCGGACGTCACTTCCTGGCTGCCCATACCGTGGAAGGGATCAGAGAAGGGCATCGGCTTCATGACTTCCGAAGGAACTCAGTTTTCATTATGAGACGTCATTAGTCCTCTAAATGAAGACCTTCTAACTCTAAGGGCAGATTTATATTTTCTGGCTAGCGTTTCTTTATTTAGTTTTCTACAGGATAGAGTCGCCAACCCCCTGCCCAACCTAGGTTTAGGACCGACCGTAGGCCCCACAAGGGCTCCAGGCGGAGTTCCCTGATACAGATATGTAGAAAGCGATGCAAAATAAAATATTGACTTACTTATAATATTCAGCAGCTTTTCTTTGAGCTTTAACTGCATCAGCCGGGAATTCACCAGAATCCGGTAACCATTGTTTTCCTTTGGCTTGATATACACTACCTAGATTGTATAACGCTCCAGCTTCTGTTCTCTATATAAATCAAATAGCAACAATAACAACAATAAATTCCCAAACAACTGCTGATCAAATTAATAAGAATCATCGCCATCACATAGCGTGCTAATATCCAACTTAAATTTGAATTCATTTGATGAAAAATACTTTTCATCACATGATTCAAAAGAAAAACAAAATTGTTCGGGCATTTACCAAAAACAGAGAGAACTAGGTAATCATCTTTCAAATGTGTATACAAATGCGTGTCTAATAGATCAAAGTTATGAAATTTTACTCATCTCGGTAAGTATTAAGTGATTATTGAAATATATATTCACTGAAATTTGGATGAGTTGTTGTTTTAGCTTTGTAATTAATTGTGTAGTGACTTTGTTCATGTCAATCATGCATAGGGGTGTATCGCAAGAGTTGAAAATCCTGGGGTTATATTTCTAGTGAAGTTGTAGGTGTCAGTCAGTCAGATGCAACGTAGAACTTTGTACGTAAGTACATCAGTTCATGTTGCCATACCACATCAGCACAGAGACGCCATTGTCAATTCAAATCCAATAGTAGAAGAGTTAGTAAGGGTATTAGAAGTAATCGGAAAGGTTAGGATTAGAAGATAATCAAGAAATATGATTCAGTGAGAAAAGTTTAGAAAGTCAAAACTAGATGTGTTGAAGAATCTAGAAGATTAGGATTGGAGAGAACACAGAGAATAAATGCACCGGCACCATTGCGAACGATTTTGAGCCATGTCATTCAGGGTATCTAACCATCGATTATTATCATCTCGCGGACCCCAACCAGGTAGTCGACAATTACCGACATGGCTAAGTCCATTCGTCAATGACGTCATGGATTTCTGCCATGTTTTGGTTTGGCCGCCCCGAAGTTGTAGGTGACCATAATATGGGGTGTCATACAAAGAAGGAATAAGTGTCTAGTGTCCGATGATTTTTGAACAATACTTTAAATAAAATTAGTATGAAGAATATAACTTATACATGCGTTCAACTGTAAAGTTATTTTTACTGATCATTGTTGTAAGAAACTATCAGTGAATATAAAAAAATCAGTAGATTCAGTTTCATTAGCAGTTATTAATCAATAGTCATACTGGGGTGTGAGCAACTTATAAGTAGTATATGACGTGAGTGTCAACGTAATGTCTGGCAGCAGAAGATGGGGGAACATCAAGAAAGGAAGAAGAGTTAGAAAACAATGGAATTTGTATGAAACGCATGAATGGTGACAATGGATTGATGTTTGGCAACAGGAACAGTCCAGTTCGATATGATGAACTGATATTTTGCAAATGAACGATTTACCATATGGTTTTCCTATTTTACTGAGTAACTCTGTAATTTTCGTTAAATACAATTCGGTTGGCCCACCTGTGTTCTCCTTCACTACAATACTAGTACACTTATTATTATTAGTTGATTAGCGGAATATTTCTCATTGTGTGTTATAATTCTCTCTTTATTACAACCCAGCTATTCCTAATGCTTAGTATTCTCGGACATTAATTCACTCAAGACGTTCTCCCAAAATCAGAACACCGTTGAATAGGGAATAGATTATATTCCAATAACAAGGTTATAATGAAGACAGAAGGTCCAAAAGAAAAAGACGTTAGTATATTTATAGTTTTCTGTTCCGTCAGTATCGGCTAGCGCTGATTGGATACGAAAGAGCCAATCAGCGTGCAACAACGCAATCATGCTTTAATCCAATCAATGTCCCACCAACATTCAGGCAAAACGAATGTGTACAGGATAAATTCAAACCTTTAGACAGGAATATATTTATTACCCAGATATTTATTGGAACCCATTTATAATATATTATGAAGAAACGTATCGCGATTATTAAAATAAAGTGTAATTTCATGAAAACTAGTTATTTCGTACCAGTCAAAATGAAACTCTAAAAAAGTGAAGAGTATTTGTGACACCGAGTAAAATTACACCTATCACAGAGCTTGAACTCAAACATAACATAGTTCTGGACTTATTAGAGACGTTACCATTGAGCCATTTTTAGGGCGATTTATCTCTTGTAAGGCATACGTTTACAGTGGTCGTTTCATGACAATGTGAGGTACGGTGACGACAATATATACACCAAATACACATTCATAGTTAGGTTACAGGTTGTCTGTGAGACTAATTGCATGAGGCTTCTAGTCATTGACATTGACGTAACTGTAAATTCAAAAACAAAAAAAACTCGTCAGACTCCTTAACATCTTTTTTTCCTAGACAACAGATACATTTTGTTTTGTCAGTGAGAAGCTCTAGTAACTTGACGACATTCATAGTGAGTTTCAAGGTCAAAAATTATGGTATGGCTAATACAAATATATATATATATACTCATTTTGAAGGTCAATATATTGGCGAACTACACACTACATGGCCTTGTAAGTTCTAGGTAAGCTAAGGTCATATAGCTCAAAGATAATAACGTTCAACAATCCTTTATAGCGTGTAAAAAAAGGAAGTCATTTCAGTTTTGACCAATGATACAGTTCAATACCAAAACTCAATCATAATGAATGTTTTTAAGAACATATTTCAGGAACAATTAGAAAACAGTTAGGCGGCCATGTAAATGATTCCCATCCGAAGGCAGGTTGGAATGATATCGAAAAAGCTGTGGAAACAACAGTGATATCTGTTAGTAAGGTAAACTATGAGGTTAGGGATAAGCCGTGGATCTCAGTAGCATACACCGAACTGACAAACGCTTGGAAACTCATCCCGCCTGGCTGTGAAAATGATGAAGAGCGAAGTCAGCTTAGGCGCAGGCTGATAAAAAGCCAAAGCAACGATCGTGAACAGTGGTAGGTGGCGAAAGCAAGAGCGATGGAAAAGGCAGAGGCGATAGGTAACAGTAGACAGCTGTTCCGCCTAATCAAGGAAACCGATATTAGAAATTCATCCGTTAGCGAAACTATCTCAGAAAAGAATGGGACTAATATTCATTCTCAATCCAGGAGATTGGATCGATGGGCAGAACACTTCAGGGATCAGCTCAACTGGCCTTCACTTCGGTTGCCCACGACCTCTAGTCATCCTGAATGTAAATCCTCCGAGTTTTTACGCAGTTGAGAAAGCTTTAGGAAATCTGAAGCGAGGGCGTTCTTCAGCGCCTGATAGACTGACCCCTAAGGTTTTAAAGGGTGGTGGTCCAGTTTTAGCAGATCTTTGGTAGAATCTGGAAACTGGGCTTAATACCATCTGACCGGTCTCAATCACTGATTATCCCAGTCTACAAGAAAGAACAAAAGTCCTCTTGTGACAATCACACAGGAATCAGTTTGATCAATATAGTATCTAAAATACTGGCCTCATTAATACTCAGATGCCTAACGAAAGCTCATGAAGAGCAGACTAGAGAAAACCAGGTTGGTTTCAGACCTGGACGTGGATGTATAGACCAGATATTGATACTACATCAGGTCCTATAACATAGACGCTCGTTCAGACGCCCACATAGTTGTATTTCTTGACCGTAAGGCGGCATTTGACTCTGTCGATTGTGAGGTTCTGTGACAGTGTCTGTCATTAAAAGATGTACCAAAGAAGTATATTAACCTTATACAGGCTCTTTACTCGAACAACACTGGTCAAGTAAGAGCTTATGGCAAACTGTCATCGGAATCCTTTACTTCAAGTGGTATCAGTCAGGACTGTCCACTTTCTCCATTCTTGTTTAACTTTGCCCTAGACATGCTTTTAGAGTTAACATCATCTTCGTCTGACTTTTCAGGGGTAGACCTACCAGGAGACTCGCTGATTGACCTAGAATGTGACGTTGACATAGTTCTGCTTGGTGAACACGCTGACAAAATGCAGTCTTTTCACTACCCTTAGCAACAATCCAAATATGTTCGGGATGCGGTTTCCCCCTCGAAACGCAAAACGCTGCTTCAGGATTGGCTTGCGTCGGCACCTGAACTAGTGATAGGGAGTGAAGTAGTTGGGCGTGTTGAGCGCTTCACATATCTGGGGATGGCCTGGTGTGTGACGAAATCTCAGCACAGCTACAGAAGGCTCGATTGGCTTTTGCCAAATTGTGTCATTTATGGCGTCGGCGAGATATCCGTTTGGTAACCAAAGGACGAGTCTACTGCGCATTAGTTCACTCCGTTCTACTATATGGATGCGACAAGTGGACTGAGTCATGTCGGTAGATGTAGACTACCTTGGTTAGGGTCCGCGAGACGACAGTAATCGATGGTTAGAGATGTTGAATGACATGACTCAAAATCGTCTGCAATGGTGCAGGTGCATCCACTTTTTGTGTTCTCTCAAATTCTAATCTTCTAAGACCATCCAATTTTAGTTCATTCTTCTCATGTCTGTCTCCATTTCTCAGCGTAATGTGTTCTTTGGCCTTCCTCTTTCCCCTCGATCTCGAGAATTCCAAATGAGGGCTTGTCATGTGACGTAGATGATGAGTGATTTCCGTAATGTGTGTCTAATCTACTTCTAGCGCTTCTTCCTAATTCCATCCTCCACTGGAATCGGGTTTGTTCTCTCGCACAGTAGGTTGTTGCTGATGGTTTCTGGCCAACGGATTCGAAGTATTTTAAAGTGAAAGTACTAGGTGGCTTAAATAACTTAGTAGCAATACCCCTCCAATTATAACACTCAGTGAAGCGAAGCTGAATTACATACAGTTAACACAAGATTGGGGAGACATTCTACTCACGATTGCCAACTCATCAATCGAAATTGAACCGTTCCAGTGTTTACTTCTAAAGCCTGATCACTGAAGTTTCGACCAAGGATGTAATTTATACTTCATCAACAATTTCTGGAAACCTTGTCTACATCTTGTCTATATCAAATTATGAGTCGTTGGTTCGAGGTATAAAAATAACTAATTAGGGTTAAGCGGAGAGATAGTCCCCAAATGACGTGGTACGACCGAGAGTGGGCAGACTCCACTGTTCCCCTACCATATAGCCATATGTATGGAGCCACTTCCAGGGAGGTCATACTCACTAACCTCTCGTGATGCAGATGTTGTTTACGAAATTGAGATAACGAAAATCGGTCGTTCAAAGCCTTGACGGGGCTGGTGGTAATGTAGGATCCACCTAGGAGAGTCAGAAGACCGCGATTCCAAATTAATGGTGCACATCGGTCCTGGTAACTTAATAGGACGAATGGAGCATAAACCTATCGTCGGTCACCAGTTACTACGGGACTGCAACTCCTGACATTGCTTCACTGCTGTATGGACTGTCTCTTGGTAAAAGGCTCAAGGAGTGGCCGCCTAAAAACCACTTGCCTCGATCTGGACACCCAGGTACTTTATACTGCGTCACTTGTTTATTCCTTTATTCCTATATTAGGTATTCTTTAATCTTCAACTCGTACAGCAACTCGCATATTGTTGAAATCTTGTCCTACTTAAACGATCTCAAGTCACTGGTTGGTCGAAATTTGAATGCTACCACCGAAAAAGAATTCTGAACCAGCCTTTCATTCAAACTGGCATTCAAACTAATGCAAATCGGACAATAGATATGGTGGGCCGTCTTAAGAAAGTCCTGACATCGATATCTGTCCTCTATCCGAGATTTGCATCCAAAACTTTAGCGGTACACGAAATACTCACTACCTATCTATCGCTTCGATAGGCTTACATCGAGTTCGTTTGTCCACAGACGTTGTAGCATCCTCTTCTGGTCTTGTTGGCGTTGGTATCGCACTAAGCACTATTCGACTGGATACACATTAACAGTCAATTATGTGGTGTTAGATAGGAAAGCTCCATTTGGGTAAGCAGAAATCAGTATGTGAAACGATGCCCCTACAGATTGCAACCCGGATGCAATGAAGGGTGAGAATTGCCACCAGTTAAGTGATCTTCAGACAGTGCGTTTGACAGCTATCACAGTGCTAGCCGGAGAACTGAATGCACAGGTTGCATGTCTAGGCACAAAGGAGAGTCTCCTGGGTGGCCAGTGAGGACTTGTTGGCCGTGGGTCAGACAACAGTGACCGTCTACTGCAACTTTGTACAGACTATGTTTCTGACGAGCACTAGATACCGCCCCAGTCACCGCCTATGTGCTTCTTAGAGTCCTTTCTCTGCGTCGCAAACCTGGACTCAGATTGATTACATCACGATCAGTTACGACTGGCGTGGTCGTTTATGTGTGCATGACTGCCGCTGCTTTTGGAGTATTTACTTGGACTCTGATTATTCCCTTGTTTGCGCTAACCTTACGTTTCAGTGGCCAACATTTTCATCGGTCTACACGAACTGAAGTCAGTAAATTGACAGCTTTTGTTGCAACCAAATATCAAGCAGAGCTAGGTTCAAGACTAGCTACCGACCTACTGAAAGGTATAAATGAGTACTGACTGTAATTACACAACGCAATGAAAATGGCGAGTAAAGTGGCTGGCGGCTTCGCGAAACAACCCGCTCATAAGCACTAGGTTTCTAAAAGTTTCTTACAACTCGTTTAGGCACGTTGGCCTACCCCGAGTAATCACGAGTTTGACGATAAGACAGTTCTTGAGTAACCAAATAGGGCAAACTTTTCGTGAGGACTGAGGAACCTGATGATCAGAGCATGCTAACGAGCTGGAAGTAGCAGCTGTATTTGATAACAGCCAGAAGCTCTTCCAAATCATCCGAGCTACTGGCAGCAAGAAGTTTGGTGTAAGTGAGACAATCTTTGGAGCTGATGGGGCACCACCCGATAACACTGACCGACGTCTTGGACGATAGAGAGGGTTTTTCGAGGAACAGTTCAGTTAGTCTGCCGCCGCAAAGACCTCGATCAGACCGTTCTGTCTTCCATGGTCGGTGACAACTGATGCACCTAACGAGGCGGAAGTTCGCAGAGAACTTCAACTCTTGAAGCGCTACAAATTCCCACATTCAGATGATTTGCCCCTGGCTCTTTGTAAAGACGATGGAGACTTTCTGACGATAGGACTGACCAAGTTGTTTACAACCGTTTGGTAATTGGAGAGTGTTCCAACATCATGGAATGAGTCAATAATTTTCCACATCACCTGCGAAACAACTATTGTTGGATAAGTCTACTGTCGATTGTGTCCAAATTATTGACTTTCGTCATACTTCGTAGGTTGTTCGAAACTTGATAAAGATTGACTTGTGAGGAGCAGGCTGGTTTTTGTTCCGGTCGAGAATGTGATGATCATATTTACGCCCTCGACCAAATACTAGAACATTGCCACACTTGACGCAGACCAACAATCGTTGTTTCTCAATACCAAGGCCCCCTTCGATTCCTTGGACAGGGTTGTTCTCTGAGACTATCTATTAAAGAATGGTGTGCTAGAGAAGTTTATTAACATCCTGAAGGCCTTATATACAAACACCTCATGCAAAGTGAGGAAATACAACTACCTCTCCCCATTGTTTCATCCAGGCACTGGGGCTAGGCAGAGTTGTCCAGTCTCACCATTTCGCTTCAATTGTGGAAACAGCTCATCTTATTATAGGGCGCATATATATTTTGGTGCCTACTTGTACTAATATTTGTTTTTACAAAAATTAAGAAAGAGCTCCATTAACTTTCGTTTATTGAGTGCCACTTGGTGTACAAAATAACACACGTAACTACTGGATTGTTTCTATAAAGAACAAAAGGACTAAACTTACCAGTAAGTATACAACCATGAAATCACACACACACACACTTACAGGACCACTCACTTTATTATATGTCAATGTCTAAGTAATCTCAGTGTGTGATATTTGTTATGCTGATTACCTGAAGTGTTCCGCTGTTATTGAATAACAAAGATTTTAGCATAAATACAAACCAGCACTACTAGTATATCATATTTCGACCAAAGCGAAGCAGTGACTTGATCTATCAGTTAGTAAGACTACAAACAGAGCCTGGCACATGTATGTATCAATTCAAGGTGTCATACTAACGAGTATAGTGATACAATAGTAGTCGTAGTAGTAGTAGTAAAAATATCAATAGTAGTAGAAAATGTTACAGATAGAAGATATAATCTAAGAAAATATGAATTAGTGGATTAAAAATAGCTTAGGACAAAATTAAAACCCAATATCTTAATAAAGACCAACAACAGGTACATCTAGAGTGGAGTCTATGAGGTGGTTAGGACATGTGCTGCTGCGTATGCCTAACCACCGACTGCCTCGTCGAGCTTTGTTTTGTAGTGTAGGAATAGGTTGGAAGAAAGTTAGGTGCGGCTAAAACAAAACATGGCACAAATCCATGAAGTCATTGACAAGTGGACTGAATCATGTCGGTAGATGTCAACTACCTGGTTGGGGTCCGCGAGATGTTAGTAATCGATTGTTAGAGACACTGAATTACATGGCTCAAAACCGTTTGCAATGGCTCAGGTGCATTTACTTTTTGTGTTCTATGAAATTTTAACCTTCTGAATTGTTCATCATCTCTATCTTTCTCTTTCTAAATTTATCTTACTGAATTATACTTCTTGAATAACATCTTCTAATCCTAACCTCTCCGATTACTTCTAATACCTTTACTACCTCTACTACTACTATTGGATTTGAATTGACAATTACATCTCTGTGCTGTTGTGGTATGGCGATATGAACTGATGTACTTACGTACGAAGTTCTACGTTGCATCTGACTGACTGACTGAGAGTGGAGTTTAAACCTATGACTGGTTGATTGAATAAAGTAATGTTTAGCTTGAAATTAAAATTAACCAAGACGACTGTATCAATGACGATGCTGATTATAATACAACTCTGATTTATTTATGCAGAAAGACGATATATTCCGAGCCAAACATTATTTTATAATACAAATAAATGAAATGATGCAGTATTAATTGTCATACTTTCATTATATATAGTAGAGTTAAAAGATTTACCTTGTCATCTAATTGTCTAGCAATTGTTAATTCATGCGTGAAACACATGATCGCTTCATCAAATTTTCCCATCATTTGAAGTGTATTACCGAGATTTCCTGTTGCGAATGCTTCACCAATACCATCACCCATTCTTCTATAAAGAAAATAAAATTATAGTTAATTGTACATTGATAATAACTATGCCTTAATTAAACTTATAAACGCATATGAATTATGTGCAGGATATAAAACAAAACTTTGGGAATGGATAGTTTATTCCTGTTGATTGTACTATTGTTAACACATAGAGTTGACTAATGGACGAGTGTACTGCGCAGTAGTTCGCTCCGTCTTACTTTATGGCTAAGAAACAAGGCCAATAAGAGTAAAAGATATTCGTACGTTACTGGTTTTCGATCATAGGTGCCTTCGAAGCATTGCTCGTATATCGCGGGACACCCGAGTGAGCAACGCTGTTATTAGGAAACGGGTGCTACGTAAGAATGGCAGATCAATAGACGCAGAAGTGATACTTCATCAGTTGAGGTGGTTGGGACATGTGCTGCGTATGCCTAACCACCGACTGCCTCGAAGAGCTTTATTTTGTAGTGTAGGAATAGGTTGGAAGAAAGTTAGGGGTGGCCAGACCAAAACATGGCAGAAATCCATGAAGTTATTGAAGAGTGGACTTAGCCATGTCGGTAATTTTCGACTACCTGGTTGGGGTCCGCGAGATGATAATAATCGATGGTTAGAGACCTTGAATGACATGACTCAAAACCGTTTGCAATGGCGCCAGTGCATTTATTCTTTGTGTTCTCTCAAATCATAATCTTTTGGATTCTTCAACTTTGTAAGCTTTTCCCACTGAATCATACTTCTTGAATAATATCTTCTAATCCTAACCTCTCCGATTACTTCTAATACCTTTACTACCTCTTCTACTACTGGATTTGAATTGACAATTATATCTCTATGCTGATAAGGTATGGCAACATGAACTGATGTACTTACGTACAAAGTTCTATGTTGTATCTGTCTGACTGACTGACTCTGAATGATATTCTACATAATGTTTCCAATTTGTTAGCAGTTTTCTCTAATCCATTAATGTTGTTTTCTGTTAAGAAAATGATATTTAAAGCTTTATCAACACATTCACATTTTTACATTATCTTACAATGAACTGAAATACATAAGAAAAAGATTGGCAGATATATTATACCTAGCTAAAGCAAGGTTCCAACGATGATATTCCAAGGCTCTGGCATAGTCTTGTTGGTAAAAATAAGCATTGCCTAGCTGACAATATATAACTGACAAACAACTGAGATCATCCGTTCCAATTGCTAATGCTTTTAGAAAAAAAGATATTCCTTTATTCCAATCCCCTTCACGGCAGAACCTTTCACCTTCCATAGCAAGATCCAAACACGGTGTTGACATAGTTGAATTTGAATAAGTCATTTTGGAATTTGGAAATTATCTACAGTTTTGACCAAAAAAATAAGTTTTAAGTTTCTACATACAACAAAGGAATAACTTATCGTTATTTTGCATAACATTTAAATTAACAAATAATCTCTGGAACACTATGAAAATCTATAAGATTGAACATCATTGATAGGAAACAATTATTTTTAAAGTCCAAGTTAGCGTGTCTGCTTAGAGCTAGGAAATTAGATGTTTAAAGATGACGACAAGTAAAGTTGATAGCCAAATACATATTATATTTTTTGGGACTAGCTATAAAACAGCTATTTAGTTTACATATACAATATCTTAGCTTATCTCAAACTATATTATCTGTTATCGGTATCGCATTAAGAAAAAAATACCACATGAAAGTACATCGGTCTGTATGTTTCATGAAATATCAAGATACTAAATATCCGACGATCCCTGAAAATATCACTACAATGCAGTTTAAAGCCAAGTTACAAATATAAAAACAGGATACTTATCGAAACTTAGAAAGTGTCTGCAGCTCCTCAAAGTATCTACCAGCAAAGTGATTACGACGTTTAAATTGACGAAAGATACAGGTAGAAACACAGGCACTTATATGGTCGAAAAATTTCAAGACATATGGGAAAGATATGAACCCAATTGTGACCAAGCAACGAATTCGAAATTATGTTATTTCAGGTAGTTAACTATGAATGTTAACATCAGTCCGATAATACTAGCTGTCAGCATTAAAAGATTTTCATACAAGCATACTTGTTTTAAGTGAAAATTGGTAGGAACTTGCATGAACTTATTAATGTTGTTTCCGAAGTTTTTAGCTCGAAAAAGGCTTAGTTGGAACAGATTTCCAAAATCAAACAAATTATAAGCAGTATTTGTGCCATAGATTTTTAAAATGAAAGTTTACATTAAAAAGAAAAATAACCAATCAGTTGCTAAATTCAAATGCACTAGTGGTTTAAGGTGGTATGAGAACGAAATATGCACGACCTTGAAAATTCAAAACACGTACTCTAATATCCGATATCACGAGCTAGTATATATGTGCGCTTGTTTCTTGTTTTCTCGGAACAGTTGCAGGTAATTAATAATGTCGATTGATAGTAGTCAAGCCACTCAACTGTAATAAATCCAGTCAGTTAACAGTTATTACAGAACATAAATGTAATGTGATTTGCGTGAGTGCATTTGTACCATGGCAGCCTGCTACCACATTGCCAGGTCGGATATCAATTTTTTAAAATATGGAGAATAATATGGATACAATCCTTATGATAATAAGAAGATAAAAAATTAAGAACTATGTAAACAATCAAATAAGTTAATTAATTCGTAGGTTTGTGCAAAATCATAGAAGGCAGAAGAAACGGAGACAGTAAGGGAGATATGAAAAGTTAATAACTTTAGGAGAAGACAATAACAAGAACCAGCAGGTTTAGAGACATGCATAGGGCAGAGCTAGTCTTACAAGGAGCTGACGATCCGTGTCTGCGCAAGTGCTCGTCAACTCTCTTGAAACTATTCACTGAGGGGATGCGGTCACTTCGACTAGGAAAGCATTGGAAGCGGCAACATCTGTTGATGCAGTAAAGTATTCACGAACCGGGGCTTTCACTCTTAGATGTCAGATTTTTAATGCATTATCTCTAAGGGCGTGCTCGTGATGTCCCAAGAGGATGCTTGTGTTGGGATGATGCAGAGTACTGAATATGTTACGTGTGATCAAGCGATCACCATCTATTCTTCTGTAACTTGGAGAGAATTATCCCGAGTCTTAGACATTATTTTTCAGGGTTTGATTTTTAACTATGCCGTCCACTTAGTTACTCGTCTTCACAATCGGTTTTAAGAGATTTTCCTCTCTTTTATGTAGAACAGTGCAATGAAATAGTGAACTTTAAAGTATGGTCACACGTATAATTTAAGGATTCAGAAACAGTTGTGGGGTGACCGCACTAAGTTGTTTTTGCAATAATTCAAGTGTTACTTTAGTACTGATGACATCAGTATGGACTGATTGGAAGCCATCTTCTCAGTCGACTTTTCTTCCTCCCTTTGTTTAACTGTCCTAAAAACACTTACTTACGCGCAACTTTCTGTTTTGCGTTGCTGCCATAATAAGTTACATGCTGCTCCCTGTGTTGCCCACTATATTCTTCAGATATATTCTTTACCCTGGATTTGCTTTTTGTTGACCGTGACGGGCTGGAATTTAGTAATTAGTATTTAATAGTGATCATAGTCACTCTTGAGCTGGCCACCACTAAAAGGTAATGTAACATTTCTCATACGACGATAGCAAACAATTCATATCATAGTGACGCCACTTTTACGAAGAAAACTGTTACGCTCGTCACTAGGTATGCTTGAAGCTATTATGAGTTTACCTTAGTCGATAAACGCGAACGAGACAATTACCAGCCTCCAGGTAGGCTACCTTGAATCCCCAGGCCGAAGAAAAAAGGCTTTGTAAGCGTAGAAAGTATATTCTACAAACACCCAGCAATCAAAGTAAAATCAAGCAAACAACTCTCGTTTATTTATACAACATAGAAACGTCCTTGAGACAGCTAAGAAAATAGCACACTAAAATACACAGCAGTCAATCACAGCCATGGATTTTCCTGGTGGGAATTGAAATCTCAAGGTCAACTGATCAGACCGTGCTCGCAAACTTAAAAACCAAAATAAGGCATTTATCAAGTGAACATTGGGAATCTAACATCCCCAACAAAAACGCGATTGGTTGAAAAGAAACATTCATTATTATAACCAGTTGTACCAGTGATTGTTTTACTGAATTTGTTTATTATTCGTACTCCGTACACTTATTTTCCGTTTGCTTTATTGCCATTTTGGTTATGCTGATCATTGTAACTTTGCCCATATTCTCTGGCACGGTCTAGGTATTCTTTCGGTACCACGAGTTTATATCTTCTCCCCTGTCATTGTTTCACGACGGTATAACGATTAGTGGCGGGAACGTAATTGGTTTCTAGTGTTGTTCATAGTCAGTCCCAACTCGAGGCACTACAAGATAACCGTTGAGGGGGAATTTCCGCACAACTATAAAGTAAATCGGTTAAACTTAACAAGTGGGTGTTTTAGCATAGCAAATCATCACTGCATAAAACAGACTGACCTTGTGTCGGGGAGGACACCTGTCGTATCTGCAACCATTTTGAGAATTTGATGCAGAAGTCTCGGAGAAGGTGTCGTGTTGGTTCTCTAATGCTGATCTTCAACTGTTATATTACTCACTTATAATGTATTATGACAGCCTTCCATACATCCAGAGTAACTAAGAGTAGGAATTCCGTTCGATGAGTGGAGTAAGTGATTCGAAGACAGCCTCCTGTTGACTTCAGTTTCCAGAGGATTTATCAGTGTCACAAAGTAAGGATCTAGTGTTTCAACATGTTTTTTGTACAATTCCAGATAGGGAATATCTTACATAACTCCCAGGACATTTTGCAATGTCCCTACTAATATTAGTGACAATCCATTCTCAAATAACAAAGACTTACTTGAGGCAAGCCAATTTACAGAAAAGATCGAAATGGTAATATTGCTAACCCATTTGTTGTGAATGGTCGATCATTTAGATAAATATTTCACAAGACACACCGGCTATTCATAGAGGGCCAATATTTCTACACATAAATATAAATGTTTCACACTCTGCGATGAACACTAAAATGGTTAGCGTGAGTTATGTCATCAACGGCTAGACGGTACTCTATTTACATATCCGACTGCCTGGTTACCCTTCCTTTTTTGTCTGTTGTCCGTTCTCAGAACCCTATCAGCAGTGTAGCAACCATGGTGCTTCTACGCAAAATGCGCCTTATGTATTCGCATGTCCAGGTTACCTCTGGCACATTCCAACAAATTCAATCCCAAAAAGTCTGATGGATATCGTCCTATTTTTATCCGCTTGTTGAAAATGTGGATGTGTCAAACTTTTCCTATCGTTGACATGGAGTAAACTTGCTGTCAGAAACAGAGTTTTACTGTTATTCTAAGTGTACAACCTTCATCAACAAATGCGGTATCATTTGTAACAACTTGATCTTGCCTGCAAATTGACATGCCTTATGTAGCACATTGCTACTTCAGAATGAAGTTATTATTAGTATAGATAGAATACAAGTACTGGAACCGAATTTGGTATGAAAACACCCCATTGATTATTTTACTAGGTAAAAATGGACCAGTACTGAAGCTAGACAGAGTAAAATGGAAATAATTGAAATTGTTATGTTGTGCTTCGAAATGGGTCCACAATACATAACAATATTTGCGGCGAAATTGATGCATCCTCAGTTCACAAGCCTTACGTAGTTTGATATCCCTAAGCCATAGAGGGAAGAAAGTGACATACTCATGATCTGCAAATTTTTAAACTGTCCTAATGACCTAAATAAAGTAGTCATTGTAGAAAATTCACTTCAGTGAACCTTGATTTCGGAAACAGCAGAAGTCAGAAACGCGCCTCGCCCAGTCCAAATTCAAAATATAAGTTTTTCTATTATTAGTCAAAAAAGGAATGCAGACAATTACCTAAACAATATTATACTGTTCCGATCCGAAATTAACACAATGAGTTTCCAATTCTGGAAGAATGTGTCCTTCCATTCAAGAATACGAAGTTACCGCAGAGGTATCAAATCCGATATGGATTTAGCCATATTAAGTATCAATTTAAATAACACATTTACAGTTCAGAAGGAAACATGTAAACTACAATAAAGTACAGGAAACAGGAATTATAACAAAATACAAATATTAACAACCCAAAGTGGGACTAAACAGAGTACCAAAATATTGAACATAAAGAGTCAGCAAGATCATAACACAAATATACATAGAGGAATTTTCCCAAAAACGAAGCCTTCAAAACGGATTCTGCAGTCATATCATATGATATTCGTGGTTACTCACGTATAGGACCGAAAACAACTGCTCAGTGACGAGTGAGCACCTATGTTGAATTTTTGCCCCGATTGAAATTCACATCTGGCGGCCTTGGCAACACTTTCCAAGATTTACTACCACAAACAATCCTAGGCTATCAATTAAAATACGCCTACTTACCTGAATAAGCTAGAACACTCAGTACTAACAGGCTTTCCGGTGTTAGCTGCTATTAACTTCACTTTTTCCTCCTGACCTTTTTCCATCAAATTCATTTTGGCGCAGTGTTACTTCATTTCATCTCATTATCAAACAAATGAATAATTTCCACAGTGCAGAATCACTGAGACAACAAAATTAATGGCCCCGTAATTCAAAAGCCCCACCTAAAACCAATCTAGCTAGCTCCCTCCAAGTGCATTTGTTTCGCCCAGCAATAAACCGACCAAATAGGCTCTAATGGTAGCCGCAACCAGAGCTAACACACGAAGGAAAAAATAGTTTTTCCAAGCCCTCAAGCATCTGTTAGTAGTACGAAGCAGCTACTGAGCGTAAACAAAGGGAACGGCAACGTCGTAGGTCGGAAAACTCCACAAATCAGAGATAGAGACGTTATAAAGGATTCACCAATTTTGTAAACTGTTTCAGTGTCAGAGATAAGCTTACAGGAAACTAAGGGACAGTCGGACAAACACTACTCAGTGCCTAAGATGGGCAGTAGCCTGGACAAAATATACTGTTTGTTCAAGGGTTAGAACTTCAGCTAAAGAAAAACCCCTTTCATTGACGGTAACCTCACTGTTAAAGTTGCCGAATAAGCCTTACCAACGTCCTAAAGACCTTCGCTTAAACCGTCCTTTCTGATCCTAGTCAAACACGACGTACCACTGCAGTACGAATAGCTGTTAAAACACCAGAAGACGCTCGAGGACAAATCATTATGATGGTTCATAGAAGTGCCTGAGCTTGTTAGGGGTAGCTTGGATGAAGATCACGCACATAATGTGTCGCAACAGCAATGGTTATCACGCAGCATATGCCTTCGCACATCCATGGCAGCTACCTTGTCCCAACTGCCTCGTCCGACAAACGTCTCGACTATAAGGTTTCTGCGTCTTATGGCTTCGAACCTTCGAAACTGGGAATACATAGCTGGAGCGCTTCAGGCTTGGTACAGAACGAACAGTGATCTCTCGAATCAGATTAGATGTTGTGAGAGCCGACCTAGATCGATGAGATAAAAACACGGCTGTCAGAACAACGACCACCAATGGTAGTTGATCTCGATCGACAAGACGGGGTATGAGACACTAAAGCTACTGTTTCGCCCATTGACTAGACTACACAGACAAGAATACTGCCATGGCCGTTTTCCACAGAAATGGCCAACTCTTTTTGAACAGCTTGGTTGCAAGTCCAACAAACGCTGTTGCTGCAGTGCTGAGCCAAGTGATGAGATAAACCACCAAGTGCCTCTGTAGCAACTTAAGAGAACTAAGGGCTAAGCTGTGAGATACTTGGAATGTATGCTCTGAGATAGATTTTAAGGTGATAATCATAACTGAAACGTGTCATTCCTCCTACACTGCAGACGACGAAGTGAGATCGCAAGACATAACACTCTTCGGATGCGGTCGGATACATCAGATAGGAGATGGAAAGGGTGTATATGTTACGTCCAGTTTTTTGCTCGTTGATCTTACGAAGCACGGTTGTCGAGCTATTTGTAATTCACAGTCCCCAAATGTTTAAACCAATAACGAAACTCCAAAGTAGATACCAAAGTTTATTCCAAATCACAAATTCGACCAAAATACTTTATTACAAATAGACGACCAATGTCGTTCTTCTAATTTATTAGCTCTTGGAGCAAAAAACTGCAAACGAACAACAAAGAGAAACGGGAGTCCAAAATGTCCGCAAATAATAATTCAAACAAGTTCACAAGTTAAGTAAAACAAATGTACCCCAAAACAGTGAAATTAATGATATTTATACATGAAGGTTTTAATCAGCAAAATGTCTTCGTTTCTCCCGTAACAGTATATATTAGCAGATATTTTAAGGCCAAAAGACTATACCCAACTAACCGATGCGACAGAGTGATGCTGGTGCTACTCCAACACAAAAGCATAAGTACTAAGGCCAAGGAAGATAAATTGACTGAGGTAATCCTGCAGCTGCCACTGCTTGGGTTTGATCACATTCTTTCAGCTGGAGATTTTAATGCTTTATCCACAAGTCCAGGCAAAGAGGGTACCATTCCGATCGGTCGGTTCCAAAGACCATTTGGCACAGCCATTAAACGTCCTAGACTGATTGATAATGCGTGTAACGAGCACTAGGTGGGCTAGTAATGGAAAACCCTAGAACTTGGGTTATTTTTTAAGGAATGAACAGCTCCTGGTTCAGGATTTTCATGCCAACACACTAGGGTGGAGTAGTGATCCTGGTGTATTCATGTTTAACTCTGTAATAAACGTAACATTCAGGTAAAACAAAAACGAGCTCCACTTTAGCTATACTAGGGCAAACTACACACCCATGCGAGAATATTTTCTACAGGCCCCATGACCATGGAAATGGTGGAGGCTAATAGTAGATGACCACTGGCAGACAGTAAAAGGCATTATCCAGAATGCTGTCTTACATAATGTTCCTCAAGTGTATCTCACACCTAGAAAGAGAACTTTTGTTAGACAATGCACTGAACACTTGCTACAGACGAAAAGGAGGGCCTAGACCGAACAGAAGGTCTCTGAAGGATTCCGACCATAGTTCTTACCTGACATTGAGAAACAGATGCATTGCCATGGTTCCAAGTGATATGCGACACTTCCAGCTGAAGCTGTCAGACAAAATGCAGGTGAACCCAAAACATCTCCTTAGGTTCCCTACTGAACGAAAACAAACTAACCAGAATGTCTATTTTCTCAAAGGTTCAAATGGTGAAGATCTTACCAAATTGGAGATGGCTGAGATCTTTGACGCTAACTTCACTGACCAGTTAAACCAGGTAACTACAAGTTCGTAGTGGTACTTAAACCTAGTGCTAGATGATTGTCTATGAAATGTTTGACTTACTCCTGAATAAGTACCAATAAAACCGAAATCCAAATTCCCAGGGAAGTCACCAGGTTGTGATAATATTCGCCATATCTTCTTGAAAGAGTGTTCAGAAGCCTTTTCTTCACAAGTATGTGACCTATTCCGGTAATCACTGTAAACACACCAACTCCCATGTGAATGAAAAAACCTACCCTTCAATTTTTGAAGGAGGATATAGGAAGGATCAGGGTTGTTAAAGACTAGTCGTATTACCGCCAACACTGTCACAGGTCATGGAAGGGCTGGTGAATGATTAAATGGAGGAGTACACGGATAAGAACGACATCATTCATGAAGCTCATTACTGTTTTAGGAAAAGCAGGTTGTGCACATCCGATCTTATAGTGGCATGATAAATCGAGTCCAAATATCACGTTCCGAACATTTTGTGCATCGTGACGCACACAGCTTTCATCCATGGTGGACATCCGCCCTCTGATATATCCTCATAGAGCGATCTTGGCTTAGTAACCACAGAAGACCTAGACACACGCTACATAAGGGATACAGACAAGGCAAACATAGCACTTCACTTCATTCAAAAATAGCTGTGTCTAATCACCCCACAACTGTTGGTAACTCTTTAAATTATACACATGGCCACACCTTCAAGTTTTCAATTTCATTACACTGTTCTACGTAAAAGAGAAGAAAATCTCTAATTAATTATCTGGAACGGTGTCAAGAAAAACTAGGATCTAGGGCAAATAGACCATTTAGTTTATACTAGTTCGTGATAATGATATTGGATATTGCATGTTGGACTTGTCTGACAAGGTTGTTGAAGCGAAAGTGCGGACTAATTTCGAAGGTTCCATAAGCTCTTTCCGTGTCATCGTAGCTGAACGTCACATAATGGTTTGTGGTGTATTTGTTTGTATCCTATGACTGCATATATGTATTTTGTTTCGAAATGTTCCTCACTCAAATAACTTAAAACTTTTTTTGCATTAGAGTACTGGAGTAAAATGCCACAGGTCGTGCATCGAAGCATTTGAGGACTTGAAGCGTAATAAGAACCACCGTTATATTCTCTTTCATATTTACAATAATCAGGAAATAAGAGTCCTGCACCAAGCTCAAAGAAGTAATCATTTTTCAATCAATTTTTATTGTTAGATGCAACTTATGATGAATTTAAGGATCAATTAGTATCAGCTATGAATGAAGGTGAAGCACGCTACGCAGTTTATGATTACGAAACCGAAGGAAAATTACCCACCCTAGTATTTATTTTATGGTATGTTTATTAGCCATATATAGGTTCATATGTGTAGGGTTCCGTCTACGTTGGATGTTAGGATGCGGATGATATATGCTGCTTCAAAAGATGCATTGAAAGCTAGCCTGATTGGTATTAAACGTGAAGTTGAAGCAAATGATTTGGATGAAATCTCGGAGGAAGAAGTGCGCAAAAAAGCCTTATAACTGTTCATCTTAGTTGTATGTTTTGAGTATCCACATGAATTTTCTCATTTGCGGGTTAGTGCATTTTCAGAGACCTCTCGTTCCTTAATTCTGTATTTTCATTTCTAATGTTGATGATAGTTTGTCATACACACCAGCTTTTTTGGTGTTGATGCCATGTGCGCTTCTAATGTATGTATACTTCGGAGTACGGCTCCATTGCTATGCACTATAATATTTATGCTTAGTTGACTGACTTATTTATTCTTATTCTTGCTTCTACTTGGTTTATAGAAGCTGCAGTTGTTAAATTTCCAAAGACTTGAGTTCCTGGTTTTTAATATTATCAAGCTACTTCTAAAATTCGTATTTGTTTTTATGCATGTCTAAAGAATATACCGACAATTTTGATCATGAAAGCGATTTCTCCGTGTTCTGATTTATTCATTGCTTTGGTGCCTTCAGAGTAGGCAATACTCTTAAATGTGTTAATGGAACCCTTTTGCTTACCCTGAAACCAGTTAATCTTATATTTGCATACATGTATCGTAATATTCATTGTGAATTCTTATCTTTAAATTAAAACTTTCTTTCTGGTCAGTGACTGTTTCAATAAGATAAAAGTTCTACGCACATCACATAATTTTCGGTTTTTCTGGAAACGAAACAGGTATTTTTGTTGTTACTAATATTCTAAAGCACAAAGGCTTATGTCAACCACATCTACCTAATCCGATTGGTTTGATTCTCCAGTTTACTAAGTTAAACCTGATGAAATCGGATACAAGATCCAAGAAACTCTTACTTCACATGCTAGTGTTAAACATTTAAACAAATTTAATTCTGACTGATGATATGAATTTCGAGTCGAAAGGAGTAATTTGTAGTTACCGGAACTCTTGTCGCTGTTAATTCACGTTGCATAAGACAAACTGGTATATGACGATTGTGTTTCGAACTGAATGAGGTGTAATGGGGGGTTATTGTGCTACACTCTACGTCATAATGTTTTGTAGAATCGTGTTCGTTATACTGTAGCTTCATTTGTCCTTAAAGCCAGTTGGATTTTAGTACTTATTGCCAACAACACTCGTTTGTCTGCCTGTTCATTTTTTGTAGTCTTTCTTGAAACGTGATGGAACTTAAGCATTTTATGGGTTACTAATGTAACATGATTATTCTTCTACAAAAATATCGAAAAAGATAAAATTGTGTGGAAGTGACAAGCTTAAGTCACTTGTTTGTGAATATATACAGTGTGAATCATACTTTAGGTAGTATACATGATTGTTGTCTTTTTCAGCCTACAGTACTAACGACACCAGGCATCATCGCCCGCCGACTACCTTGGCTAGGTAAGTTGGACGAAAGCTAGGGGCGGCCAAACCAAAACATGGCACAAATCCATGGAGTCAATAACAACTGGATTAAGCCATGTTGGTACGTGTAGACTACTTGGTTGGGGTCCGCAAGACTATACTAACTGATGATTAGAGACCTTGAGTGACATGGCTCGAAATCGTCTTCAGTAGTGCAGGTGCATCTGTTCTTTGTCTTTTCTCAAATTCTAATCTCCTGAACCCCACACGACTTTTTTTGCTTTTTAAATTTATCTCACTGGGATATACTTCTTGAATAATATCTACCTCTAGTCTTTTTTGTCGCTAATACTTCTACTACCTCTACTATTATGGAATTTGAATTGACAATTCGATCCCTGTGTGTGGTAATGTGGTGTGGCGACGTGAACTAATGTACGTACGTATGAAGTTGTACGTTGTGCCTGACTGACAGATACTTAGTTTAATTCATTAAGACGGATTTACTACATACAGAATCAAGCCTATTTCTGGAAAATACCAACTTGAAAAATAAGAAAAAACATCTTTGAACATGCCAACCCCCCAAAATCGACTCAACGCTGGACCCATCTAGACCGCATTACTATTAGACGCCGAAAGCGAGGCTCGATAGAAGACTGCTATTGTTTCTGAAGTACATGTCTAAATTCAGATCATGCCCCAGTACAGGCACGTTTTTGTTTGCGGCATACTGGACGTAAGAAAGACACAGCAAAGAAACCCCCTCAGAGTTCTACTTAACGATAGAAAAGTTAAGAGTTTATTTCGATAGTAACTAGAAAACCAGGTAAACAGTCGTGTTAATGATGCCCACCCCGAGGAAGCTTGGAATGATATCCAAAAATGAGGCAGAAAAGCAGGTTTTGATAGATTAACTCCTGAGATTTTTAAGGATGGTGGTCCAGTTTTAGCAGCTAGATTGACTGAAATCTTAGGGAGAATCCGGGAACTGGGCGTAATCCTGTCTGACGGGTCTCAATCACTGATTGTCCCAGTCTGTAAGAAAGGACAAAAGTCGTCTTTTGACAATCTAGAGGAATCAGTTTAAATAATATAACTTCTAAGAATAAAATACTTCGACGCCTAACTAGAGTTCGTGAAGAGTAGATCTGAGAAAACCATGCTGGTTTATGACCTGGACGTAGATGTACAGACCAAATATTCACATTTCGATAGGTCCTACAACATATAAATTCTATTGTCCGACAAATAGTGTATTGCTTGACCTTTAGGCGGCGTTCGAATTTTGATCGTGATTTTCTGTCAGTACCTGTCGTAGAAGGGTGTTCTTAAGAAGTATATTAACCTTGTATACGCTCTCTATTCGAACACTACAAGTCGAGTCAGAGCTTAAGTCGAACTGTCATCGGAATAGACTACTTCGAGTTTGTGTTCGTCAGGGTTGTCCACTTTCTTCATTCTTATTTAACTTTATTATTGGCATGCTTTTAGAAACGACACTTTCATTATTTAACTTTTCAGCAGTTGATCTTCCACCAGGAGATTCACTTGTTGACTCAGAATATGCCAATCAAATAGTTCTATTCGATGAATGCAAAGTGTTGCTTCAGTAGCATCCAGGAATAATCATATTATTAATCTCGAGAGAATATAATTTAACATCAGTTTATCAATCTTTCGTTCATACAATTGTTGACTTCTTGTTTAAAATTTTAATAGATCTTAGTAACTTATCTCATACTTCATATCCAAGAAAAATAAATATGAAAAATGATAAAAATATAACATGCTATCATTATAAACATTTATGGCGTAGGCGTATCTGAAAGGAAATATTTGAAAGAAATATCATAATTGCCTTTCAAAATGTAGTTATTAAATTAAACTCATTTCAAAGTAAGTTTCTTAATCAATGTAAGTGTTTAGGAGGTTTCTAAGATACATCTGTCTCAAGTTATTTCTAAAATACTAAAATAGAAGGTAATGACTTGAAAGTAAGTGCCAAAAGAGGTTTATGTACTTCAACAAAAGAAATCCATTGATTTATTAAATCAAGCGATGTTTCAGTAAATAGTATCCGCTTAACGTTGATATCATTTATTAGAATTACAAAGTGTTGCTTCAAGATTGGGTTGCATCGGCACCTGAACTAGTGATAGGGAGTGATGTAGTCTAGCGTATAGACCGCTTCACTTATCTAGGAAGTCTCATCAGTGCTTGTGACTGACGAAATCTCAGCACGGATACAGAAGGCTCGATTAGCTTCTGCTAACTTGCGTCACTTATGGCGTCGGCGAGATATCCATTTGCTAACCAAAGAACGAGTGTACTGTGCAGCAGTTCGTTCTGTCCTATTATACGTATGCGAAACATGGCTGTTAACAGTAGAAGACATTCGTAGGTTATTAGTATTCGATTATAAATATCTTCGAATGATTGTTCATGTATCCTGGTACAACTGAGTAAGCAATGCTGTTGTTAGGAAACGAGTACTGGGTAAGAATGGCAGATCAATAGATGAAGCGGTGAAACTTCATCAGTTGAGGTGGTGGGGACGTGTGTTACGAATGCATAACCACCGACTACCTCGACGAGCTATGTTTTATGGTGTAGGAGTAGGTTGGAAGAAAGCTAGGGGTGGTCAGACCAATACATGGCAAAAATGCATGAATTTACTAACAAGTGAGCTGAGTCATGTTGGTAGGTGACGACTACCTGGTTGGGGTCCGCGAGACGAAAGTCACCGATGGTTAGAGACCTTGAACGACATGGTTCAAAATCATTTGCAATGGTGCAGATGCATCCATTCTTTGTGTTCTCTCAAATTCTAATCTGAATTCCTCATTGTGTGTATCTTTCTGGTTCTACAGTTATCTCACTGAAATATACTTCTTGAATAATATCTTCTCTCTCTAATCTTCTCTATCACTGCTAATACTTCTACTACCGCTATCACTGTTGGATTTGAACTGACAGTCGCGTCTCTGTGCTCATGTGTTATGGCAACCTGAACTGATGTCTTTACGTACGGAGTTCTGCGTTGTATCTGTCTGTCTGTGTCCAGGCGGAGTTATCATAATGAGGTAACTTTACACATATATGCATATATTTATTTACGTTGTTTATGATGATGATCAGTTAAGCCAAGAAATATTCGTTAGTTTAATTTTTAAGAAAAATGATTGAGGCATAATATCATTCACTGAAATGAGTTATTGTCTCTCTGTGAGTGAGTGGTAAAATTAAAATTCAATAGCTTTAGTGTATAGTAGTACATGAGAGAAGTCGATGATCTGAGTGATAATTAAATCCCATCATCGAATAGGTGATACTGTCAACTTATTCATGTGTTCGTTCATTCCTTTACTGTGTATAAATGAATGGCAGCTTTATTTTCGAAATGCATTTGCAGCTTACTACACTATACTAGTATATGGACACTAAATATGTACTCACACACACATATATACAAATTGATTATCAGGCCTTTACTGACACAATTTTAACTTATTATACTTACTTCTATTGTTTACTATGAGCTTAGTCAATAGTCAGTCAGTTGCAACGTAGAACTTCGTACGTATGTACATAAGTTCATTTTGCCATGCCGCATTAGTACACAGACGCAAATGTCAAATCAAATCCCATAGTGATAAAGGTAGTAGAAGTATTAATGGTAATGAAGAAGACTAGGGTTTG